CACATTTTTCTTTAAAGACGTCTGTTAAGACCGCCCGTGGTTGCTCTTAAACCTATAGATTGAAGCAATGTTTCAGCAACCTTGAATGAACAAAGGGATTCAAATTTTATTTTTGCGCTGGTGCTCTCTCCGGATGGAACATACCCACGTTTCCTGTCAATCCAGGGGACCATGTTTATGTGGTTATTAATTGTTTTGCCAGCCTCATTTCAATGCAGTATCCTTGACCTAAAAGTGTAAAATGTGTCCCACCATATTTCAACAAGGGAACCAAATCAATCGGTACATTTTGCAAAGGTTCGGTAATTTAAAGGACTACATGGAGAGATAGTAACCCAAGACTTGGGACCAGGTGGCCTGGGGGGACTGCAGATGCTTGTGGTTTGCAACTTTTGTAATTATTATAATAATAAAAATAATAATAATAATAATAAATAATAATAACAATAATGCTCATTTATCAGGCGCACGTATCCACCAGATGTGTAGTATCCATCAGCAGCGTGGCCGATGGGGGCGCGGGGGCGCACACGCGAACCTAATTTGTACTATAGTGTTCGCTCTTTAGTACGAATCGGCAGCATAGCGCCCTCTACTATACTGTTCCCGCACATAGTCCAAAAGAAACCTTCCTACATTTGCTGCTCAGAGCGTAGTTTCGCCCGGCCGGAGTTGGTGTGTATGTAGCAGTAACCTCAGTTGTATTTCATTTAAACCTTTGTTCAGCAATCAGAACGGAGACTGGGAGGTCAAGAACTTGCTTCCCACCAACGTCACAGACACGGATCCAGTGGGGCTGGGGGTGGGGGTTCAATTAAACTAGCCCCCCAGCTCTGTCTCAAACTTTTTTCACAGAAATATATTTTTTACAAATGTGAATCCCCCCCCCGCTCTGACCCCCCCCCCCCCAAAAAAATATGACAATTGTACCGGTGTCATATGAAAATCGGACTCCTTTTCCCGATTATTGGTTAATCCCTAGCACGTGACAGGTCACTCTGCCATATCCTAAAAATAGCATATTATCGTACTTACGCATGCGCAATACTACCAATGAGTCCATATTTCATGGAGTCGGATATTCACGCTTCACCGGTAATAATGTCCACCTGTGCACAACATTCGGACTGAGCCAGCTATGTAATATAGTGTTCATGATCGTTGGATTTGAACAGCGCTCCCATTGAAAGTATGGTAAATTGATTTTACGGAGACAAGGATCCGGAGAAAAAAAAAAACCTGTCTATTTTCGGCATTGATTTGCTGATGACCCCCCCCCCCCCCCCCCGCCAAAATTCCTGGATCCGCACCTGGTATATCATATTGGCTTACTGATTTTTATTGTCAACGTAGTATTACGTTCTTTGACGCTAAAATAGTGAGTATCACTCTCTTTCGCGCATATCTAAGCAGGGTGACCGTTTTAGCCGATTTTCTGCTAACTTTGACAGATTTTTTTATAAAACAGAACGAGTTTGACAGAAAATTTGACAGAATGGATTTTTTTTTTGCAGATTTCTGGCAGGATTCTGCAAAAATGGTTATTTGACAGAAAAACATAGCAATTTTGCAATAGGACAAGTAAAGAATCTAAAACGTAAATTTTTGGGCGATTTCAGGACGCACTGTACCCTTTGCAATTTCGCTTCATACTGGGTCAGATGACAATGCAAGAGTTTCAGAGAGTTATCCATCCATAACGTTTTCAGCCACGAACTCTGTTTGATAACAGAGTTTTATTTGCTTGATATTTTGAACGTAATGTCTAGAAATGAGTGGTCATAATTTATGCTAGGCGCTTTCTGCAGCTCGAAAAGCTCATTATATTCTCTGGGCATTTTATTTGGGGGGGGGTGTAAATCCATACACTACAAATCGTATTTGTGAGGTAAAACAAAGTGAGAGTAAACAATGGTTTACATCATGTATCAGAAAATTACACGGTAAAAAGTGATAATAAAGAGCCGTTTTTGTATATTGTATTTACAAATGCTTAATTGCACAGTACTAATTTGTTTTCTTGGGTCTGACTGTACGCGGATCCAGGGCTTAAGCCTGGCATATATGCATTTTTATGTTCAAGTTCCAGGGGGTGTACGTTTTGTCAAACCAACAGCTACGTTTATCAGATTGGAGAATAGCCTTCAAAACGGGGAGGGTACGTATCCTCGTTGCCTGAAGTCATGCGCCAAATGGTGTTCCTTGTAGCCGGTCGAACAACGGGCAGAGAATCACAAGTCCAACTCTAGAAACTCTCAGGAGGTCTTAACCAAGACTGGCCTAATTTTTAATGGGATGCAAATGGCATCTTAATTTGCAAGTGTGATCTAAATTTCTCGGAAAAAATCTTCACGTGGGAAACTGGTAGTTGTATCATGGAGGTAGGAAACATCAGTTGGCGTCAGCCTAATATTGCCTTACCGACGTTAACGATGTACCCTTTCCCTAGAAAATACGTCATTGCCTCAAAATCGCCTCTTTCAGGAACTTGATATTCGTAAGACGGCTGCCAAACTCTTGACGTTAAATTGAAGAGTGTCACGCCTTCAGTGTTCGCCGTGGACGGCGCGGCGCCACGTCAGGCAATGCGGGGGGGGGGGGGGGGGGGGCTCGTGCTCCTTATATTTCGCATTAACATGCATATCACTTTGACCTGCACTGTGAAATCTATTCATGTAATACATAATAATGACAACCACATGCAGCCACTTCTCCCCCAGCCATCGTCATCACTAGCCTACATCTTCCCATATTAAAACCCCATCATGGGAAAATGTACCAATGTTTCGATTTCTATTTGGATATGGTGACACATTTTACATGTTGAAGTCAAGGATTTGGCAATGCATTACAGCTGGTTAAGTCGTTAAGTCGTTAAGTCCAGACACCACATAAACATGGTCCCCTTGATTGGCAGGAAACGGAGGTTTACACCATCCGGTGATCGCGCTGGGATTTGAAAGGGGTTTTCCCTTCACTGTTTATGTTTTTTATTGGGGTCTCCCAATGGCCAGGCCTTCGGAGAATCGAAGACTAAAAAAGAACCAGACCAAGATCAATTGCGGGAGATGTCTCAGCGTGCACACTTAGAAGAGGGAATTAAGCAATTCTGGGTATTTTATACATTGTTCATTGATACCACTTGAAGGGGAGTCCCTGATTACCGACCACGAGCGGTCGACCTTACTTTAAAAAATGTATATACCAACCGCCCCCTCCACCACCAGGACGATGTGGTTTGCAAGGGGGTCCTCGAATCAACTTGGACGGTGCATATTCCCCCAATTCCAAGGAATAATCATGTGTAATTATTTCCAATAGATCGATTTGTTTCTTGTGGTATTTGTGTAACAAAGTCTAGAAAGTTTGCACAATTATCTTATAAATAGCCATCGCGTTTTCGGTCACTTTCGGTTGATTTATGTATTACGTTATGGTATCTTTTTGGTTGTTGTATAATTTTACACTTGGAACTCCAGTGAAAGAAATCTTGAAACGTCCACCCTTACTGATGGGTGGGTTGTTCCGGTTCATTGGTCTTTCAAAAGGAAAACATATTTTTTTTGGTGCTGAATGCATACATGAAAAAGTGAATAAAAAAGTGAATAAATATGAACGTGGTATTCTAGCTTCAGCTTATTGAATTTGTTAAATTAACTTTTAAACAAATACCCCAATGTCAAACCTTGAAATCTTAAGGGATAGAGTGACCCTATGGTGCCTCAACTAAGCTTCCTCTTCAGTCATTTGTATTCCTTTTTCAGATGTGAATGGAATTTCTATATTTATACAAGACAGAGCTGCAATCGATTTTACCATGTCATCAAATTCTAGGAAGTTAAAATGGGGGGGGGGGGGATTGGCGATGGCACGAAATAATAATATGCAGTTACCATTTTTAATTGAACTGTTATGTCACTCACATAATTTAAAAGACATCTACATGTATGTATAAGACCCGATCATTTCATTGGAGTGGGCGTGATGAACCTGCTATATAGCAGCCAGTTTCACTTTGCCGGTTTAAAGCCCAATTATCTCACAATTTGTGAAAGGCAATTAAGGATTCTTCTTAGAATACAACCAGCAAACTAAAAATGTCGCGCTGTGTTTCACACACTCCAGCCAATATCGTCACTTTTCTTTTCTTCAAACAATGCATGTTGTTGTCCATGCTGGACTGGTAATTGCAAAAGCGTCGTATTCACACGCGACCATTTGGTCCGCACTTTCTTTTTGATAAGATAATCTGGAAATTCCGGTCCACTGTGCTAACATCATGATTGTTTTGACCAGTATACCGGCTGTTTATAGTTGAAGCTATTTCCTTGTGAAACGTACGTTGAGTAATTCTCATGAACGAAAAGACAAACCTGGGACTCTACCGAGAAAATAACCGGTCTGTGGTTATGTCACCGTTTTGATGTGAAGTTGCACATCGTATGTGCCAGATCATGAAATAATCTCGCCAGTAATTGTAATTTAACAGGCAACCTTTTCCCGGCCGCAAACGTACGTATCATGTACGCGTACAATTTCCAATGCCCCTAATCGTTTGCTATAGCAGGGCCTTTTATTTGCGTACTGGCGAAACTGTACTACCTTTTAATTTAATGTTCCTGCATGGAGCAAAATTAATAATCAGTAAATCACAAAAAAGGACCAAAATGTGTCTAAAACCGTTATATTAGTTAATGGGCCACTTTGTGGTTATCTGGGTTGTTTTGTCTTTCACTTTCACATCAAACAAAAGTCGTTCGTAAAAATAATTAAGACGGAGAGATTACTGTTACTAGCAGCACTTTCATTTCCTGCAAAAAGGCCACATACATGTCGCCAGAGGAGCAAGTTAAACTACCACCCCCGCCCCACCCCCACGTTCCCCCATCACCCCCCCCCCCCCCCCGGATTTACACCCTTGACTTGATATACAGTACAAATAGAGTTGGTGGGCGAGGCGAACATTTAAGAAAGAAAAAAAGAGATTTAAAAACATTGATAAAATGGCCCCTATAACAAGTTACTTTGGAAAGTGCAGCGCAGACGTTATAAGTGAAGCTTGCGGAGTGGTAGAACTACACATCGTCTCATGACACTACAGAGCAGCATGCCTTTGGCAAAGAATCAAATTAACGAATGCAACTGTTGAGCTAAATGTTTAGCAAGTAACATTTATTGGGGCCGAAGCAGCTACAGGTGCATGGTGAAACTTCATCGAGTGCGAGTTTATATGGTGGATTTGTATTATAGCAAATGCGCAGCACGTATAACTACTGCGCATGAAGATTGGCAATACAAATAACCATGACGCTATGCTTGCGCTCATTGGATCGTTGCAAGTTGGCGTGACAGCCGTGTTATGTGCAGGCTGCTCGTATCCTGGTTTGTAGAGTAATCTAGACTTCACCTGTGACAAGTTTCCTCTCTTAGCTGTGACCTACCAGTTCGAATAACTGTCATCACAGTATTAATTTGCAGGCTCGTAAACGCGGTTTAGTTTGGGAATCTTCGCCAAAGTAACCTTACAAGTTAAAAGGTCACCATGACGTTTCCCGCAGCGAAGATCGCCATCAGTCTGGCGATTCTACTCTCGGTAGCGTCTTGTACAGGTAAGAGGATATTTGTTTCAAGTTCATATAAATTCCATTTTGCAGCATATAGTTAACAACAATTACTATCTCCTGGAGTTATCCCCACAATAAAATAATGTATATACAACTGCAGGCGGGTTGTTTGGTGTGAAGATTTTAGATTAAACACATAGTGAAATGTAGGGCCTATTCCCTAAAAAAGAGGTCCATACACGGGCCCTCCAAACCTTCTACATACGGACAGAGGGGAAGGGAACTGCCAATTGTTTACCCAAATTATTCATCTTCATCGGGATGTTAAACAAGTGATATGCCTTATAATGCTTCCTTAAATTAACCTCGTGTATTGAATTCATAGATACCGCTACCATTCAGGTAACTTCATTCTAAATGTAGTATTTTGTTTTAAATCTGTGAATTTTGTCACCCACATAAAAACGTCTTATATTATTTCTGACTACAGTGGGTGAAGGTTGCCCGGAACCTACGCCAGTGGAGGGCGGGCGCTATGAGTTTGGCGCTGGCTCCACGCCAGGAGCCGATGGCCTCTTCCCTAGAAATTCTTTCGTTGCTGTAATCTGCTTTAAGGGCTACAAACTAAAAGGTCAGACCAAAAAGAAATCATACTTGGTATTATTACACTAGATGATAAACCTGCTTGTCGTAAAGAGGGAAGACAGATGGACAATGGAAATGTAGCCTGCCGCCCAACTCTATTTCAAATAACTTCACTCGTGCAATGCAGACAAGGTCGCAAGTTGGAGAATTAGAAGATACTATCCAAAAAGACGCCATGTTTTCAACTCATGACAAGTCTTCAAAACTGTTATTAACTGTACATGTTGCCATTGTCCCCAAACAAAAATAAACATGCACCTCGCATGTTACACATTGTATGCTTACTGCAGTTGGAAACTTGATTGAACAGGTTTTTTTCATGTTTTTCTTCTACATAGGTCTATATAAACAGTTAAAACTTGATAAGTCAAATCTCAAGCAACAGGTTCAAAATTGGACGTAAGCGGAGTTTTGAGTCAAGCATGGTTGTATATCATTGTTATACAGGGATGTGATTGAACTGTGACCAAAACAACCTGAACATTTTATGCATGAAGTGCAAACTCCAGCGAGCGCTGAGTGCGAAGCTATTACGGCGTGTTGTCCCGGGGCCCGCTTAAGGGCCCCGGAAAATTGTTAGATTCTAGATGCTCTGTGGTGCAATCTGACATTGTCTGAGGTGATTCCTGGCCGCTTTCTTCTGAAATTTTGGAGCAGAAGTTTTTTTTTAATTGTAATTTTTTTTTTTTTTGGGGGGGGGGGTTCTAGATCATATGTATTCTATTCTTGCTCTTATCATGGAGGAAGGTACTTCTAGTACTCAAAGTTGAGAACCATGTGCTTTCATGTACATATTTATTTCCCTTTTTATTAGGGATTGTACCAGTATTTAGGCCCTATGACATATTTGTAAATTTTAAAATTTATATTTGCAATGTATTCTTTGACTTAACAGTTGTTTTGAATTATGAGAGTTTGACGTATAGTTCTATGTGCAGATTGCAGAACAGTTAATATGTAAGATGAGTAAGCTGACAATGCGATTTTGGTATTTTTATACATATTTTGACTGCAAGGTGGAAGTTCAGTTATCTACTGTAATGATGACGATGAGTGGTCTGCATCACCAACATGCAGAGGTAAATAAAAAAAATCATTTCTCCCGTTTTGGGGACGTCTGCAACCCTCCGATAAAAAGATCCGCCTTGCGAGCACACTGGCTCCCGGTCCATACCTTACCGATACTGACTGTGGGCCAGGAAAATAATATACATTATCGGGCAAGTAATTTGACATTTGTAAAGTACATGTAATTATTCAGTAACTAAGCGTGGGTCGATTTTGTTTTGGTCGATGTCTCATTCAAACTAGAGAATGAAGTTTGTATTGCCAGAAAAATAGTACTATGAAAAAGGAATCTATTTTTTTCGGGATAAAACTTGAAAATAGCAAAGGGAATACAATTTTAAGGCAAAACAATATGTTGAGCCGGGAAACAACAAATGCTTTGCGCAAATATTTCCTATACAGGGCGAGTAACAAAAAACGAAACCCAAATGGCAGGACCAATTTTTGATTGAAGTTTTGCCTGCAACACTTTCAAAATCTAGGATATGAATTATGAAATCCCAATCAATCAGCTTTTATTTAGTACAAGAATCATTCAAATCACTCATGTACTTATAAGTTACGGAGTTTTGAACACAAAAACCGTTTCAAAGTTCTGTCCAAGGATCACAAAAAAGGTTAGCGTTCTTTAAGCAAAACAAAAACAATTCACATGCATCCCTATGAGAACTGTTTTCGTTTTGCTGAAAGTACACTTACTGTTTTTGTGATCCGTGGACATAACTTTAAAACGGTGTTTGTGTACAAAATTTTGTAATAACTTGAAAGTACATGAGTCATTTGAATGATTCTTATACTAAAAGAAAGCTGAATGGGCTTATGAGTGACTTGCTGGCTGCAACTCTTGAAATGATCCTTTTCAGCAAGTGGCTGTCCAATGCCACAGAAGCCATGGAATGGTGTAGCGGTCTGGCTTTTTGGAAAGGGCCGGAAACTTGGCGGCCGCGCCCTTTTCAGATGCAAGACGGGATTTGAGCGGGTTGGGCCACGTATTAAGACCTGCTCAAAGACTCCACAGGGCATCAAATGGACCGGAGGAATTGTTGAATGCAGAGGTATGGACTCCCAAAGCATGATTCAAGTTTCAACCTTGGGAATCTTGGACTCCTTGTCATTATTGATGAGGGAAATACAAATGCAATAATTATGTTTCTAGTTTACGAAACAATTGGGTCACATGTCAAGTTACACATCAAAATCTCAACATCAAAATCGCAATGTCGCAGGTGACGTGACAAGCAAATTTCCTTTTAATTATACCTTCCATACGACACATTAGAGAGGGTTCAAATTTTTAACAATATGTCAAATTGGTTCAGAATGACGGGACTCAAGTTAGTTACAACATGTATTTGCTTGTGACAATTCTTTGATGACGTGTTTGGAAAATATGACTGGTAAAATAAAGACACCATCTATGAAAAATGGCACTTGAGTTCAAGTCAAAATGACGAACTCTGTTCAAGAGAATCATGATGAAACTGACGCCAAAGTATAAATTGTTCCATTCTACCAATGGAAATATCAGAGGCAACACCCTCTTTCCCGAACTTGTTCAGTAGCGGTAAGCCAGCCTCAAGGTCCATAAAACACCCAAAAGGGCCCCCCAAGTAAGGATTGTAATACTGGGTTTTGTTATATCGTTATCATCATTCAGCGGAGAACAGTTGCCAGAGTCCAAATGTTCTCCACGGTGCAAACTGGACGCTGGTAGAATCTGACAGGAGGAGTCGCCATGACGATGCATCATTCATCCCTAACACCAAGATCAATGTCGCATGTTGGCCTGGATTTGTCTCAATTGAGAGTCCCAGCCAGATTACCTGTGGAATGTCAGGGGAGTGGAGCCCATCCATTCCAACTTGTCGTGGTGAGTTTGAAACTGTCACAAGAATCTAAATTTACATCACAAGGATACGCAATTACCATCTAAACGTATACACACATTCGCTTGCATGGACAATTTTAATAGTTTCAGACTTCCATAATCTTATTATTGGCAACACATAATTGCAAAGAAAGACAATTCAAAAGAGTTGTAGTTCAGTCCATCAGGATTCAAGTCACACCCCAATTATTAAAAAAATTACAAGTTACAGGGGAAAACAACCATTTTAATAAGGGAATAAATGTGTGCTCGAGAGATTTTAATCACTCTGTTTAAGACCGCTTAGAGTCTGGGTGCTGATAATTACCCGGAGGTTAGGGTAATTATCAGCACCCAGACTCTAAGCGGTCTTAAACAGAGTGATTAATACAGACCGAGCACATATTTATTCCCATTCATAAATACCTTTTCGGTAAAAAAAATATAATATTTTGGTCAAAAAATCCCGATTTTGTTCAACAAGTTCACTTCATGCTTTTTTAAACATCCCTCTAGCTAAATAATGGAGTGTTCAGCTGGCGATTAAGATGTAAACAACCCTTTTATGGCGATTGATGCGCGCGTGGCACGTTCTGTGCAATGTCGCACAGAATGCACCTTGGGCGTTGCATTTTAAATTTAGAACTATAAAATTCTGACTCACTGGTAGTTTTGCGCATGCCTACGCGAGGACTGTGAATGTTCAACTAATAAAACGGTAAGAGGCACTGGATTTTTAGGAGTCCACATTTTATGTGACACTGGAAAAGTGTTTAAGACCAGCTAGCCATGTCTTTATCATCCGTTTAAGACCAGCCACGTGACGGGCTCTTGACCAATAGAAATGGCTAAACTGTCTGAGGTATTTATGAATCATAATTCATTTCAATAGAATTGAACAATAAAGAGATTGAGTGACTTGTGATTGACTTTCAATGACTTTATTACAATTCTGCAAAAGGTTTTCAATTGTAAAGCGTAAGACCATGCCAAGAAAAAAACACCTCAAATTACTTGTGCTTATGTATTTTGTAGAGGTGATGTGCCCATCGCTTTTGGAGAGTGAAGCTGAGATCAGCCATCTACAAAGTAACATGGCGAATAGGACTTACAGGCTTGGGGAGGTAGTGGACTACCGCTGTGATGCGGGCTATCGTATCCTTGGCAAGACCTGGAGGGAATGTTCAGGACCAAGCTTACACCACCCAAACAGGACATGGTCAGACCTTGATCCTATCTGCTCAGGTACGGTACATCTGTGTCCATGTATCTTGTTATCATGCTATCTGCAGGAAGAGAAAAAAATTGAAATTGGTGACGTACTATCTACTATAATTGTTGAATTAATGACCTATCTTCTGTAGAAGCTTATGTAGCTTTTATATTACAGGCAAGTTCATGTGTTCTGTTGTCATGAGAAGACATACTGATGGCCTCTATCTAGATGAGTCCCTACAACCCTCTGGAGAGTCATGGCTGTCTAGACAGTTGTAGGAACTCACCAAGCTTGAGAGATACACATTCTGAATGAATCTAATTATACTACTGTGTGTACTGATGAGCTCTGAATCGGGAGTTCCCTCATTTCACACTGTGCATTTCACACTGTGCATCTAACCATTATTTGCATATCTTCGAAAAATTGAATCCAGTAGTTTTCCAAAACTGAATACAGCATGTCAAAATATATGCAAAACAGATGAAACAACAGAATAGGTCCACTGTTGCAATAGTTTGACAGAATTATAGCTTGGTCAGTCCCAAGTCACAACTCATTGAGTTTCAAGTCAAGTCCCAAGCTATGTAAATGAACTTGTGGCAAAGGCAATCTGTTGTCATTATCCACCTCCTGTTGCCATGGTTGCATGTAGCTTGACTTAAAAATTGTTTTTCAATCAACTTGTTGTTTACTTGTGATGGTCTTGTAATTGACATGTTAGTGACTGGATTACATTACAACTCTATATTTGATCAACAGAAATTGAATGTCCAGACCCAGGTCACATCCAATTTGAAGGCAGTAGGTACCTAGATTCCAGGAGAGTTGGAGGAAATGTGACTTTCCGTTGTCGGTCTGGCTTCAACCTCCAAGGATCGAGAGTCAGGCACTGTCTTCCTAATGGGAAGTGGAGCGGAGCGCTCACCACATGTGATCACGAGGGTAAGTTATGACCTTAAAAACGTTTCAATTTAAACATACACCACTACCCATGGTTTGGATGAGAAGTCACGCTAGGCCAAAAAAAAAAGTCTCCGGTTTCTGGTATGGAGCTTGCCCAAAAAGTGGTGCGGCAACGCGTTTTTTTGGTTTTTTTTTACCATTTGCTTCAAATGTCGGCTGATGATTGCAAATGGTGCCCGACTAAACTTAGTGCAAATATATGGGAGTCCAGAGAGGCCATATAAAGCTTATTCTCGACCATAACCCAATCTAAAATTGTGCAGCAGCAGGATTCCAGTCAAACCAGTGAGTTTGGCGGTTTTGAGACATCATCTTTCATTGAAAAAAAAAACGTTTTCATTTTGCCGACGCGCATGGCTACGGCGACGCGCGCGCATACCAGAAACCGGAGACTTTTTTTTTTTGGCCTTATGACGATTTTTTAAAAGATCGAGATAGAGCTGGTCTACATGTACTTTTATGAATAAGAGCCCTGTATCTAGTACATTGGCACTTCTTATAGTCTCTATATCAGATTCTCGAATAGTTACCAATTTAATCAGAGCTAATAGACATTACAACCTGTCCTCATTCCATTCCAGGCCAATATCTACATGCCAAAGTCAGGACCACTAAATGGGAGGAGATCTGCATTGGTAATTCTGTACATTTGTATTCTTTTCTCATGACAGATTTCTACTGCCCCAACCCTGGCATTCCCATTGGAGGACGAATGGTCAATGAACAAAGTGTGCAATTCAGAAAGGGAAACAGAGTGTTGTATGAATGCAACAGAGACAGGGTGTTGCTAGGATCTGATGAGCGAGAGTGCCTGAAATCAAGAAGCTGGAGCGGGGAACCTCCAACATGTCGAGGTGATACATTTAAGAAAGTTTGGTAAAAAGATGGAGGTTTAATTTTCTTGGTTTACATACATATGTACAAATGGTAATTCATGAAACATTGTACATGTAGTTCGGTATATTTCTTGGTTTAATATTTTTTGTTTGTTTTAATTTTTTTATTTTTTTTCCCACTTCACTCACAGAAGAAAAAAAAATAAAGGATAATTCTAAACAAAAAGGACAAAAGGAATGGGAAGTGGATGGTACCCATAAGAAGCAGGCCATGTCCAGTTGCTCGAATTGTTCAGTTGCCATTCATTATGCATCATTCATAAAAAGAGAAATACCTTCCAACAGGGCCCTTTGACTTTGAGGACACCGTTGAGGTGGCAGCAAGAATGGGATACAACATTGAAGGCCTTGTAACCAAACCACAAACCCCTACAGAGGACAACAATACCACAGGTCCCAGTGGCAGGTTTATATCTCTTGGATACACTCGAGGGATGGATATCTACTTTGTTTTTGATGCATCTGGTAGCATTCCAAAGGCTCACTTCCAATATGGCTTGGACCTTGCCAAAGCCCTTGTCAGTAAGGTATGTACATTTACAAGCAGTTCAAAGAGCATCAAGAAGTAATACTCTAATTTTGGAAATGAAGTGTTCAATACAAAAGTGCTTTTGTCAAATACAATAAAAAAATCTATGTGAAAGACTCATTTTCAATGGAAAAAAAAATGGTTTATTGACTTAACTATACTGTATGCGCATACCAAGAACTTATTTGTACAAATACACATGTACTTGATCACATGTGGCACTGTATGCACATTTTATGCACAGTGAGTACTCTCAGCTGTAGCCATTCGCCAAGGCCATCGGAAGCAACTGGAACAAAGATTAAGTCAGCACGCACGAGTGGCGGAGCCACAATAGGCCTTTTTTAACTTGATTTTGTTGAATTATTCATATTTTTATGCAAATAAGTAGAGCACTGAAAGGTTAACCAATCACAGCGCAGATTCCGCCTAGTTGCCTCCATTTGTGAAAGAAGGGTGAGTAATGGAAAACGTAAGGGGAAATAACTATAAATTCAGATGAAAAAATAAGTTCCTACACTCGAATAATTTCTTGAAATATGCTTTTATATGTAAAATTAAAATAAGATAATGAAAGAACAATTACGCGGTCACAATCTCGTGGAAAACTAGACTCGCATTTTTTTCGTTTTTAAATTTTGTGCAAGCATCCGGGACTCCCCCGCGCATCCGAGTAGTAGCCACACACGCCCTGATTGGTTGGAATTTTGCTACCCTTTTGGGGTAGCAAAAATCGAGATTATAAAGAAAAACATAAGAAATTCTTGACAAGTTGGAATAGGCCCTCGCGGCTTCGCCACTCGCATATGGTCTGCCGCTCCAGTCGCTTTGCTTTCTCGCCGCATTGTTTAATGCCGGCAAGTTAAGTCACGATGGCCTTGGCGAAAGGCTATCTCAGCTGTGGATATTGATGGCAGGTTGCAAGACAAGGCTTATAATATATTACATGTATACTAAAATTAACGTCTGTTTCATCTGGTCTGTCTAAGATTGGTGTGGCTGATGGTCCTCGGCAAGCTCGGTATGGTGCCTGTCTGTTTGCATCAGACGTCCAAGTAGCTTTTCATGTCTCTGATCCTCAACCATCAGTGGGAATTGTAAATGGTCTGCTAGATGGACTGATCAATTTACATGGCACTGATCCAATAGGTAAAGTTCAATTGTTACACCGAGCAATGTTCACTGTGTGTGCAATAGTAAATCAAGTCTACATGGTCCACATGTATATGTGCCTGTACAGTATCACCTTATACTGTATCTGTTCACCTAGAATTTGGTAAAGTGTATTATATATGGTATTTGACTGTGAAAACATGATTTCATTAACAGTTCACTTGTTCTGGACATTTTCTATCTGCAGGAAGGGGGACAGCAACTGGCAAAGCACTCAAGCTTATCCATGAAAACATGATACCAGCTGCATATGACAGGCCAAATGCACATAAATATCTGTTCCTCTTCACAGATGGTAAGTGGCTGGTTTTTCATTCTTAAAAAGCTTTACATACAGGTACGAGTCAGATCTGCTCTATAAAGGTACAGACATCATATTCATAACACTTGAAACATATACATGTATGTGATATTAACCCTTACCCTACTTGACCCTCCAATGCATGCCAATTGTGCCTCAAGAAAATCTCCTATGTTTTTTGCATGGCCCTCCAATATCTGCCATGTCATTTCAAGGGTAACTGGACAGGCACTCCAATACATGCCACAGAGAACAATGAGAATCCTCTGATAACAAAGTGAGTGCCCCCAGCTGGTCAGTATCAGGCACCCTCCAGGGCCTCCAACTCCTGCCAATTGGAGCCTTCACTGTTAAGACTTGTTATCTGCCAAATAACTGCAGCTGGAGGGCATTGGCATAACCAACTGACATGCAGTAAACTACCCTCAGAGAGTAAGGGTTAAAGAAATGTTTCTCTCTAGAATGAGGATGAGCCCTACTCATATGCTGGTTCGATACTTGTATATGTAGTCCAGTTCATTGCAAATCTATCACAAGTCCGGTCACAAGTACATGTACATGTAAGTCACAAGCCAATTGCCAAGTCCTGTTTCAGGTAAAATAGGGTGATCAACAACAAAAGAATGCCTTTGTCACAATTCATTTGAATAGCTTTTGACTTGAGTTAGGACTGGACACTTACATGTACATACATGTGCAAGACTTGTGATGGACTTAATAGTCCATGAGAAAATTAGGCAGGCACATCTAAAGCATGGTGTGGCAAACTACATGTACATAGATGGGAAATAAAAGACTTGAACTGCTTTATATCAAAGAAATTTAAACTATACTTATACATGTACATGTAGTAAACGGGGATTATGGAAGCCAGGTACATAATGGTGACACTATACATGTACATGTACTAGCACGTTTGTTTATGGTGTAAATCGAGGATTTTCTTTTGTTCCTCATCCCTTTTCCTTTGTTTGTACTCAAACTTTTTCGCAACAGCTTTCATTGGTTTTGTACACATTTTCTAATCGAGGTCGTCCTCGATTTGCTTCCTGTCCCCGATTCATTGATGATGTTGCAAGTGCGATTTACACCATAAACAAATTTGCATGAACTCATTAAATGTTAATGGTTTATGGTTCATTTATTCTGTTCCCGAACAAAAAAAGTAACAATAAAATATGTCTTTATATGCACGGAAATACAAATCTTGTAATAGTCTGTAATATTGTAGTCAACAACTGGCTAAATTCAACGTCATTTCTTGGATTTCTTTTAGACTGTTTGCAGATCAATTCATCCAAAAGCCTGCAGAAAAAACTGTACACATGTAACAAGTTTTCCATTTCTAATTAGATTTGCTAATTACACATCTGATACATTGTGTACTTCCAAAATGTAGAAACATGCTGTTATGACCACTGAAATTTCTTCAACTCTAATTAACGATTCTTCCTTTATCATGCAGGGAAAACAAACATGGGTGCTGATGTCGCATTGCCCAAGAAGGAAGCAGAGACACTACGTGAACGGTTTAAGGTTCAAATTCACTGCATCGGAGTTGGCCATGAAATAGATATCAATGAACTGCAGGAAATTGCATCTCAACCAACCAATGAGCACCTCTTCTTGGTAAAAGACTATGGTGAACTTCACCTGCTTGTCCAGACTATTACAAAACAGAAATTAGGTGAGAAGTTCTGCTGTTTTTGGTTTTCTGTACTTTTATAAGTAAACAAAACAGTTGCTCCTGCACATGAGGAGTTTCCATTGTTTGAATAAGCTTCTGGGGCCAAAGTCATGGAGCTGTTGATCTTGATGAGCAGTAAACATTGCTACACAATAACTGGATGGCGTCCAAGTCTAGGTTTCACTTGGTCTAGCTGTGAGGTAAACACACAAGTACATGTACATTACATGTACGTACATGTACACTCTGCACATTCAAGAAACGAGCTGTGTACATGTAACACACACCCTCACACATCAGTTCCACACCAACGTGTTACAACTACAATGTATACATGTTATTTTCATGGGAGGTGAGAAATACAGATTTTGGTCAGTCTGTCGATGATACATGCAAGCACTTGTACATGTACTGTACATTGTACATGCACATTTTTCCCTACAGTATAAGTGTGCACGCATTGTTAGTGATGGAATTTAGGACGGGTTGTGGTGGCAGCAGGTGTTGTGGCTATCTACAGCCGAACCCTGATAAGAAGAGCACTATTAATACAAGGTACTGCTTATAACAAGCAACATTTTAGGTCCAAAGTCTTTGTTTTTCTTTGTTTTCCATTACTAAATAGTACAAGGTACCTGTTATAACAAGGTAATTCGTAAAGTCCCAAGGACCTTGTTATAAAGATGTTTGGCTGTACTTGTATAAATGTAACAACTCCTACTGGAATCAAGTCTACACATTAAAGGGTTGAGCACCAGTCAATGCCAATGCATATCATAGGACTTTAATTGGTCATCCTGTTCTTACCGATCAGATCAATTGTCAGTGTTTAGCAGTGTCATGAAAACTGGCGCCACATTGCTTCTGTTGATTGGTTATTTTTCGGATGATTCCTGTCATTTTAGGTGGTTTTCTAGAGTAAGGAATAAAATGTTCACACTTTGCTGATTTCGTTTTTAGATTATTCACCATGTGGGTACAACGGAGGACCAAACCACCTGTTAACGCCAAGAATAGCGGGCGGGAATGTTGCTGAAAATGGTGAATGGCCCTGGCAGGTGGCTCTGTTCTGTGATAAGGGTATTGCAGGATGTGATGAATGTGTGGTAAGAAATAACTGCCACATATTTTCGAAGACAATTATGTTTCTTGAGGCTTTCTGTCTAATGTTTAAAACAAATAAGCTATAAGTTGACTGCAAACATACAAATATGTCTAGCTCCATATTTTAAGTTTAACAATACAGTCCTAAAAAAAAAGGTGTCTGTCTGACTATTTTTGAAAAAACTACAAAACCATATAGTCAATTTTGGAGGAAAACAATTGCGCAGATACTCCTCATCCTTGGCCTAGAGTCTTATGAGTTTTATTTAATCATGACTCACTGCACAGTATGGTAAATTGATCACAACAACATGTTTGGACACTGTGACCAAGTTCCTTGCCTTAATAAATTTGAATGTTGTGTTATGTAAGCTGTGTAAAATGTGCTGCATGTTGTGGAAAAAACAGGACCGATGTGATTGGGGATTGGCATCATTTGCCCTTGAGCATTAAACTGAGGTCTTGCATAGCCAGGCAAATGATTCCAATCCCCAACCACAACCCTTTCTCACAACATGAAGGATGTTACACAGTTTACATAACACAGCACTGAAATTTATTAAGGCAAGGAACTTGGTCAGTGTCAAAAAATATTGTTGTGATCAATTGACCATTGTGCATTGAAGCATTAGGGAAATTAAATTAAAACTCATAGGGGTTTGGGCCAAGGATAAGGAGTATCTACACAATTAAACATTTTCAAAATTGACTTCAGGGTTTTATAGTTATTTCAAAAATAGTCAGACAGACACTTTTTTGGGAACATACTGTATTGCCCCTAACCCCAACATTATGAAATGCACTTACAGGGGCACTAGGTCCTAAAATCCACAAACATTTCATGTTTTGGATTGTTCACTTATCCTATTTCAAACATGTGGTTGAAAGGAAAGAACCTAATGTCTTACCAATCGCGAAAAAAGACGAAAAAATCCCGGTTGTTTACATCGGACAAGACAGAGTACGAATACGTTTTTTGTGTCGTTCTCAGGGTACGATATACACGTTGTGTCTCGGGAACAGCGGTGACCAATCACCAATGCAAATAAATTGTGGTTTCTTCAACGTCCGCAAAAGGCGAACACTTTACGCGTACGAATAAAATCACAACTAGCATCCAAACGGCTCGAGTCGAATTTACGGGTCGCAAAAGTGGACCCCGAAATTCGTTGTCGCACACATAATAAAGGAATAACACAAAAACGCCCAGTTATTAAAGGATAGTTGTGTGGATGTTACTATCCTAGTTTATAATGTTCTTTCCGGTTAACATTATCTCGTTCAAAGCGCGTTTTGTAGCCCAATTGGGCTGTTCCAGGACCTAGTGTCCCAATGGACAGTTTTCTCAGCAATTTAATTAACTCCAATACACACCCTTTTATGTATGTATACAAATATACATTCCTGAGGGCACAGTTTGCGAAAATGGAAAGTTAGTAAAATGTGCATAAAAACAAAGAGGGCTTATAACTCTTTAAATGAATTACTATTTATTTTATAACCAGCCCGAGTTTTTCTGTGGTGGTAGTCTCATTGCTCGTAACTGGGTTCTGTCAGCTGCACACTGCTTCCGAGAATGCCCATGGTCTGACATCAGAGTATATACAGGTAGGAAAATATTACATGTAGATGAGAAGATGTAATTCTAGTCTGAAAAAAACCCTTTGATGATGAGGACGCTCTTTACACATGCCAATAAGACAACTTAAGATCAATGAATAATTACACGTAAATGTACACTCATGTATGTCAAATCAGGAGTCAGGTAACAAGACAAGGTGATCCACGGATCACATGTGTAGCCTTTTAAACAATGACCTCAAACGACCCCTAGATGACCTTTGACCTCCAATTTCGGAAGAGTTGTGATAAATCCTAACCCAAGGATTGCTCCATCCAAGTTTCATCAAAATCCATCAAACTCTGTAGACAAATAAACATTTGAAACATATTTGAACAATGACCTCTAATGACCCCTACATAAACTGTGACCTAAGTAATCCAATGAAGAATTGTGTCTTCCCAAAATCCAACAAAGCATGTAGAAGTTATCCATTTTGTTCAAAAACTAAACCTAAACTTTAACATACGGTCATACATGTACATGTATGTACGGAGATGGTCTTACAGAATTTAGGACTGGTAAGTGTCCCCCAAAACTTTGTTTACCAAATGTAGGCGACACAAAAAATGAACTTAACACTGTAATCAAGTTCTTTTGAAAAGTTTGTCACTTGCCTTGAAATTGACTGATGATCATTAGTGCACTATAGTGATGAATTGAAATACCCCCCCCCCCCTCCTGACACCCCTTTTCCTTCCCTCATCCCCGCTCAGACATTGGGAGAAGGCAATGCGCATTTTACAGTACAAAAGCATGCCCTCGCACCCCCTCCTCATGAAAATGAGGCAAGTGACCCCCTGCAAATTTCAACCTCATTGCACCACCAAGTATAAAAGCCAACTTTGTCAAGAGCTACTATATGCAATTACCAAATGGATACATGCTTTATGTTTTCAGTGTCAACCCTCATAACAGTTTTTGTGTACATGTACACTGTATCCACTAACATTATCTATCTGGTCTTCAAAATATTTCCCTTTGTTACAGGAATACTAGACAAATCTACAAATTTACTTCGAGAATTTGACCCATCCCTAGTGTACAACCTGGATGGTGAAGATGCCCTGATAAGACATGAAGAATACAATGACCAAAGCCTTGATAATGATATAGCCCTGCTGCGTCTGAGCCGGAATGCCACACTCAGCCCAAACGTCAGACCTATCTGCATGCCACAGCCAACAATGCAAGGTGAGGTGACTCCAGAATTACCCTGTTTATGTACATGTATACGTACTTACATGTACACGTACTTGTACGTAGGGCAGTGGATACTTTGTAGAGTGCAATGGCCTCAAGGTTGGAGCATTAAACTCAAAATCCGATTGATACATGTAGTCCTGCAGATTGTGTTTCATTCCATTCTGCGTATTGTGGGTTTGTGATGCATGTATGTATCAATGCACAAGAAGATCCCCTCCAACGAGTGAATTGATCACTGCTGTAGGGGCAGAGAGCGTTGTGTTTAAATTCACCGTTTGCACCTCAATAATGTAGTTGAGGTGGTTTTAGAAATGATTTATGTGCCCAATGAGGAGGAATAATGATAGGCAAGTTTGATTGAGTATGTAATGTGTATGAACTAACATCTAAACATCTCGAGTACAATGGTCAAACTGTCATCACAAATCTTTGTAACAATGCATGCAAGTGTAATGGGACAACTGCTAAAACAATGACACACAGTTTACGCATTGCATCTTTACTGTGCATGAGGTTTGCAGTTAGATAATGTTAATGCTTCCCACATGCCATCCAGCCTCATGGTGTGTGGTTATTCTGTATTTCACTCATGCTCCTGCTACAACAAAGTACATGAACTCGGTGTTGTAAGTGAGCCTTCAGGTTCAGTTTAGATTAGGTTTCGGTTCAAGTTTAGTTCAGAAATGTTATCCAAAGTGACCCTGTTTCACGAGCATGCTACCGGTACCTGAAGACAAAAATATTGAGTTAACATGCTTTGGGTTGGTATTATTTTCCAGATGCCGTGATTTATTCACAAAATGGAGACGCGTTTGTGGCTGGTTGGGGAACTACAGACCCCTATGAATTAGACAATTGTAAAGACACTCCCCTACGAACTTCACCCCTACTTAAGCAACTTGCTGTTACTGTTCGCACGGATGAGGAATGCAGGAATAGCTTCACAAATCACTTCAAGTGTAGCATTGTAACTGCATACAAGCCCGACATAGCATTTTGTGCAGGCGATCCAGAAGGGAACCAGGACGCATGCAGGGGAGACTCAGGAGGGCCAGTCATGAGGCAGATGACCGTTGCAGACGGCAGCAAACGATGGGTCCAGATAGGCATTGTCAGCTGGGGAGAAGGCTGTGCTCAAAAGGGTCGATATGGAATTTACACCAGACTCTCAACTTACAAAGACTGGATCCAAGATCACATTGGTTCTACGGCCTATGCCATACACAACTGAACCAAGATGTTAGTGATCGATAAATGGACTGACACTGTGTAGCCCATTTTCATAGTAATGTGCATGTCTATGACCATTTTATACAGTTCTAGCACTAACACAGGAATCTTGCATAGAGGGGGGCTTGGCTGTCGCATGCAAACTTACTACTCTTTGAAAACGTGAAATTGCCAAATGTCTCATCACCACTGATGCATCTAATCATTTTTTACACCATAAACAAATGCATACATGTACATATATGCACATGCAAATCACAGGTACTTACATGTAGAATATCTGAAATCCTGTTGTAACATTCACCATGTGTGCTTAGACATCGTCAGAGGATTAGGTTTTTGACAAGAGCTGTTTTGGCTTCTTCACTTTAGTCTGTTTAGAAACATCTGTGTTCTGGAGGTAAAACAAAACAATGAATGAATCACTTTTGGTTGAGATGCATATTAATTACATATATTATCCCCTGTTTCTCTTATGTTTTCTTTTGATTTAAAACGGCACATATATGCTTTTATAAAATTATAATTTAGATTTCAACCATAAAGCAAATTAATCAGTTTTCTACATGTATACATGTACAAACATTATTTTGAGCTTGTGAAGGTCTTATTTACAAATGCTGCAGGAAGACCCTTTTTAACTACATGACACAATCACAATGTAAGTGTACAGTATGTACAACATTTTTTTCCCTTCAAACGACTGGAACTTACGATTCCACTCATAGAAATGTGACATTTTCAAAGCTGCAAATCAAAGTCTTTTATATATATAATAACTTCTGCATTAAAATCATTAAAAGAACCCAAAACTATGGAATTGGTACAGCTGTAAAATGCAATGATAATCTTGCATCTCAGGCAGATTTCCTAAGAATTCTAGAATACACTCAACCAAAAAAGAAGGTCCCCCCTTCCAATACTTTTTCGTCTAACTCAAAAACCGCTGGGCACCTCTCGCTCAAATAACGACTAACCAGTACAGAAATTCCTTAGCAATCCAGCCATACTCTTTATTTGGCCCAAAACAGTGATAATGTGTACAAATTTATGCAATTTATGACAAATGGTACCACAAACAGTTGCACTGGATATGTGCAAGCTGTGGTTCACACTCACCTTGCACGTATACAAAAGTGCAACTTTTTTTATGATACCACTTGTCATAAAATGCATAATTGTGTACACACTATCACTGTTTTGGGCCAAACAAAGAGTACAGCTGGATTGCTAAGGAATTTCTGTACTGATCATTCGTAATTTGACCAAGATGTACCCAGTAGTTTTTGAGTTAGACAAAAAAGTATTAAGGGGGGGGACTTCCTTTTTTGGTTGAGTGTATGGCATGTGCATGTTCATACATGTACAGTGTCAATGAACAAACTTTGATGTACATACATCATAGATTTATATTATATTAAACAACTTTGCAGCTATTAATAACAAAATGTATGAACCCCTCCCCCCTCCCCCCCCCCCCCCAAAGAAATGTATGTAAATATACAATGTAGTTTGTTGTAAGTGCATACGAGATCGAGTGTTTGACGTGCACATAACACCGATTTGACAGGTTTGTGCTGTTTAACCATTGAGTTATATTCAGTTGTCTGAATGCAGAGCAACAGTAAACCAAACAGCAAAAACAACTTATTGTAAATACATGCATACAGATTGTTTATCAATGTAATGCCGCAAAGGATATATCTTAATGCAAAAGCAACACACAGCAAAGGGAAGAAAAAAAATCAGTTATTAGTTTTTGTTGAGTACGGTACATATGCAATGCTGATAGATTAAACATGATTCAATAACCATGACAACTGGAACAAAAGATCTTTGCTGCTCCGATCAAGAAAAATACACAGACATGATAGAAAGAGTTTGCTGTATCTTGTTGTCTCCAGCACAGTTAGATATTATGCCAAAAAAAAAACAATTAACAGGAGGATCTGTAAATGTAAAATTTGTGTGCACTTATTAAACGTACAATGAATTTGGGAGCACTTACTAGACTGTTCTCATTGAGTACAACAACTTGTGTAGTTTGTGTTCATACTGTTACAACTGAATGGGTTAAAAAAAGTCTGTTGGGGTTAGCGAATGAGTACATTAATGTTAATATAAGTTCTGCAAACAATGTACCTGGGTCATTCCATGCCAACTCAACAAATGTTGCACACCATCACCTCTTGGATTTTTTTCTTTTTTGGTGTACTGAAAGATACTTAGGAGAAATGCAAATTCTGAAAATTTGGGGTCTCTACGACTTTTCGTTCTTGCACAACAGCATTTTGAAATTTGAGGTGGGCGGGGCCAAAAGCGCGTCGCGTCACGAAATTCAATGTTTAAAGGGCCATATATTTAAAACTATACCACCCAGACATTTCAAACTTGGTAATCTGGGCTATTTTTTGCTGTAGATTTCAAATATTTAAACAGAAAGAAAGTAGCTTGTTTCATTTTTAAGTTAGAGGGGCCCCAAAATGGCCCAAAACTCATCTGGACCAATGTTCGGGGGGGTGTAAGTCAAAAATTGAAAATATTTTTTTCACCAAATTTTTTGCCTGTAATAGCCCCCAATTGAAACTACTTTCGTGTAAAATCTTACACTTATATTAACTTCATTGAATGAGATATAGCCCTTGCAAAAAGCAAATTGTTTATTTTTACGATAACTTGACCCCCCCAAAAACCAACGTCAGACATTCCGCACCAAATTTTGCTTCACATATGTTTGAGGTTGGTCCTTAGTGAAGTCCTCTGAAAAGTTTCATGCTGGTGTCTAAATGTCTTCAGTGGATAGCTGGGCTTTATAATGAGTCTATATCTTACGATGCTGGTTCCGTAACATACAAGTACACGTACCGGTACCTAGAATAACAGCAGTCGGTACATAAAGAACAAGTTGGGTATGAAACTTAGCTTACATTTGTACATGTAGACTTTTGATCAGTTGATATAATTGTTCACAGTTTCACAGGTGAAATTATGCATTTCTTGTGATGTAGTTTTGATGAAGTTGAATGAGTTGCATGATGGTTGGCTCACGAAGTTTGTATTGCCTTCCACCGCTATGTAGAAGTTCTGGTGTTGGTACGCAACACAACACATCAACAAATGGAATGTTACATTTATCCTCTCTTTGTGGCCAATAGAGAGTATTTGTTGATTCCGTCCTGTACATGAAGCAGACATACACATCCTCATGAAGTTGTGATACATCTTCTACAATAGCAATGTACCAAACATCATCATAGACCACACAAACATATTTTCCTGGGTTGAGGTTAGCTGCTACAATTGGTGCATGATGAGTTTGAGCATACATGCAACTCCTTGGATGAACTAGGTTTCCCCTTATCCATAATGAAAACTAAGATCAATCAGGTTTAACCATAGACCCTGTACTCAAACTGAATCATTTCTCTTTGGTTCAGGTTAGTGCTATACTATGCTATGCAAGTGAGAACTGGTTAATTACTACAATGTACATACATGACATGCATGCTGTGTGATGAGCACATGGAAAGAATAAGACTCTCAAGTCATTTAAACCTAATTTGCATATAATGCACATGTAGGTCTACAAGCAACTGTTTATTGAGCAGGAAATGGGTAGTCTTGACCCAAGTCTTTCAAAAGTCGGGGGATTTTGTTGTGCTGGTTCCGTAAAATACAAGTACATGTACATGTACATGTATGTTACGGAACCTGCAGCATCATAAGATATAGACTCTTTATAAAGCCCAGCTATCCACTGAAGACATTTAGACACCAACATGAAACTTTTCAGAGGACTTCACTAAGGACCAACCTCAAACATATGTGAAGCAAAATTTGGTATGGAATGTCTGACGTTGGTTTTTGGGGGGTCAAGTTATCGTAAAAATAAACAATTTGCTTTTTGCAAGGGCTATATCTCATTCAATGAAGTTAATATAAGTGTAAGATTTTACACGAAAGTAGTTTCAATTGGGGGCTATTACAGGCGAAAAATTTGGTGAAAAAAATATTTTCAATTTTTGACTTACACCCCCCCCCCCAAACATTGGTCCAGATGAGTTTTGGGCCATTTTGGGGCCCCTCTAACTTAAAAATGAAACAAGCTACTTTCTTTCTGTTTAAATATTTGAAATCTACAGCAAAAAATAGCCCAGATTACCAAGTTTGAAATGTCTGGGTGGTATAGTTTTAAATATATGGCCCTTTAAACATTGAATTTCATGACGCGACGCACTTTTGGCCCCGCCCACCTCAAATTTCAAAATGCTGTTGCGCAAGAACGAAAAGTCGTAGAGACCCCAAATTTTCAGAATTTGCATTTTTCCTAAGTATCTTTCAGTACACCAAAAAAGAAAAAAATCCAAGAGGTGATGGTGTGCACCATTTGTTGAGTTGGCATGGAATGACCCACCTATTAAGTTGATATACTGAAAAATATTTGTGTTTACATTCGACATGTACATGTGAGTGTGGATGTATGGCTGAAGTTTACACAGTACATTTATTGCATTTTTAATGTCATTTCCTCTTGGGGCTCAGTATAGGGACAGATGTTTATATTAATTTTGAGGAGGGAATTTAACGAAAATAACAATTGGCTAATAATCAAGTGTACATGTGCCCTTACTTTACGCCACCATAAAATTTTGATGCAAATAAAGAGAACTACTGTATCTTCTAAAAAGAAAAATATTGAAATGTCCCTTCTGTCACAAAATAAACCAACTCCCCAAAAACAAGAAAAAGGTTTTTCATTTTTATGAAAACTTTTAAGAAAACTTTTTGTGAAGTAAATAACCAAACTGAGTTTGAAGTTACCAGAGCTGCATGTACGTGTTCAGTGTACATGTACTGCGACTTGGTAATGAGCTTCTGACCATAGGTAGCCATTCATACTCCTGGGTGGAGAGAGGCAATTGTAGGTAAAGTGTCTTGCCCAAGGACACAAACACCATGTTCCTGGCAGGGTTTGAACCCATGTACCATCATACATGAGTCAAACGCTGTAATCACTGGACCATGACATGACATTGTTGACTGATGGGATGTAGGATATGACATTTGCAACACCCGAGGGGCGCACAGCACCCGAGGCAAAGCCGAGGGTGCTGTGCCCCCCGAGGGGGTTAAAAACGGCATATCCCATAGTACAGCAGCCAACAATGTCATGTCATGGTCCAGTGAGTCCTACCAATAAGTCGAAACGATAAATGGTTGCAGGCTAAATGAAATCAGTGTGGTGTAACCCTTGATAACTGCAGCTTTCCTGAGCGCGAGCTCAGTCGTGAGTGCGCATGCAGGTTCTACACGCGTGCGTGCAACGCGCAATAATAACAATAACAAGAAATAAGAACGTGATATAACATTACCTTTCGCTTTTTGCCATCTGACACTCTTCCTTTTGGATTCTCAGCATCAGCAACCACCATGTTTTCAATGTCATCTTCTAATCTTTCAGCTTCTCCTGAAGGGTCACCCTCAAAATCCTCCGCTGCAATGGTGGATGAAATAAAGGACAACAAATTCATTCAAAGTACAAACTGTGTCAATAATGACGATATGTAAGAAACTCCAAATTCATTAAAGTGATCTGTCAGTTATAAAGTACAAGTTTACAAATGGAAATTACAAGTCTACAATAGTATTTAAACAGAGCCAGAGTTAAATGAACATGTATAGAGTTATAAGATGGAATTTTGCGTCGGGTGATATAAATCAAATTAGGTTTTGCCCTTCACCGACGTATAAACACTGTATACTCAGTGTGTTATCTCCCGAGTGAAAGTTGGAAAAATCACTCGGGTGGGACTCGAACCCACGACCTCCCGTATACCTCCTGTATAGAGTTCCTATTATATGTAGTGCTGCAACTTGCAAGTCTCTCTTCAGTTTCAGTTCGGTGTGGTTCTGAGGAAATCGTTTGGCTTGGGTTCAGCAGCAAATTTGAATATGAAACCAAATATGCGACAGCAACATATGCCAGACTGAGCAAATGAGTTCAGTTCTGTTTGGTTTGGAGGCACCATGTTTGGCGAATGTAGATCAGTTCGGCAGTTTGGCTGCAGCACTGCTCAACATCCCATCCAGGGGAGTCATATTGGTGCAGTGTTTCTTGGCTTGCTTTCCACCTCCACTGCCTGGGTTTGAATCTCATGTGAGTCCACATGTGGATCAGGGTTCTCAGTCCATACTTAATTCTGTGGGGTTTACTCAGGATACGTGTACCTCTAAAACCGAAGGTTTCTTCATTGCAATAACTATTATTATGACACACCTCTTGCTGGTTCTTCATCCTGGTTGGCTGAAACATGGTCACGTGTGGTTTACTAATACAGGCTTTACTAATAAATTCGCATCAGCGTGAACTAGACGCGCGTCAAGACATCGTGCGTGTGTAATTTCCGGAGTATTGTGCCCTATTGGGCACTATAGTCACAATTTTTGACTGGTTACAGTCCCCCTCTAAAAACTCAAACTCAACAACTGAATCTTGGGAAACTAAAACCGTTCCATTGATTGTTGAATTGCTCATAGTTGAATTGCTTACGAGTTAATTGTTGAATTAAAACAGTTGAATTATAAAACTCTGAAGGTTTGTTTTCTTATTTTTTTATTTTGGACAGAGGTGAGTTACATGTATAAAACACATATGGACCAGCATAATTCGGTCACTAGTGCACGTCTATGCCCCCCTCGGACCTGTTAGTGACCAGAAGAGGGTCCTATTTCCCGAGGCCAACTCACAGTCCCCCGGGGGCACATAGATGTGCACTAGTGACATCATTGCCAGTCTATATGTGTATACTATGCTGGTCCCAGAGGGCCAGCCTAGTGTCCTCTTTGTGTGTCCTCACTGACTGACTGACTGTCACTAGTGAGCCAAGCAGTACTATCATGATCATATAAGATTACTGTGTCATGCTACAAATGAAGGGGCGAAATCTGGCCAGTTGTGTTACATGTAGGCTTGGCGTAGCGGTTCTTTTTTTGCCTTCCACCGCTGTGACCAAGGTTCGATTCCTGCCCCGGCCACATGTGGATTGGATTTCAGTCCCTACCTGATTCCGTGGGTTTTCCTCAGAATATTCTCCTGGGGTTTCCTCCCACATCTAAAACTGCAATGTCTTCACATTATCTTCTCTTTACTGGGTCCCATGGCAGACCAGTGGATTTCACTGAATGGGCTATGCAAAATACATGTAAATAAAATGTGTAGACCAGATACAAAATACAGAATTGCCATTCTAATAAATGTCATTGAATTTTGTGTACTTTGAGACCAGCTTAAGTAGTCTTGCCTTGTCTTGTAATTTCAATACCTGGATAGAGATCTGACATGCTGTCATCAGTCTCAGCTTCAGAGGCCTCAGAGTCTGTGGTGCTGTCCTTCCTCCGTTCCTGGTTCGAGTCCCATCCTTGTTTGTCCTTGCGAGGGATTCTACAGTGTGGTTTGAATGGCACGCCTAGACGCTGAGACTCCTCGTCTGTACACAGCAAACATCACACAATCATCAGATAATCTCTGCGACAGTGTCATAAAGTTTAATTCTTTTAAATCCTTCAGGGTGATATGCAATGGAAGGTACATGTACATATATCTGTCATCTTTATCAGGTTCATAGTGCCTAAATGACCTTTTCTTCTTGCTGTTTTATTGTGTGCACAGTTCATCAGGGCAAGTAAAATGTTCAATAAATAGGCCCCTTTTACGGATGAATGATTGTTGATTAATGAAAAGGCATAAGCGGTGAATGGAGGCAAGCACAAGTGCATCAGTAATGCAGTGCAGCGAGAAAAAGGTCATATTTTTCAAATGCTTTTCTTTTTTTTATCTTGTTGGAAGGGTGAAGAAAGTTCATAATCATCAATGTGTGCATGAAGATACATTAATACACATTCAACTGGTTAAAGAGATGGTCAAAAGAGGGGGTCAAAAGAGGGGGTCAAAAGAGAGTAAATGGTTAAGGTTTTGTTGTTTGGTACGGAAGATAGAGGGGCAACAAGAAGTAAAACAAAAAATCTTGCTGTAGTATCTGATAGGAATTCATTGTAGTTAGGAAGGAATCTGTTGTGGCAACTATCTCACCTGTTAAAGAATTGACTTGTTTGTATAATAACTTCACACATTTTGGCTACATGTTTATGTGGATACTACAGTGTACATGAACTGTTGATTTTGAGCATTTTTTTCTGGACTTGAGTCTACTGACTGCTAAATAAACTGCCGTAGACCTCCATAATAAATATTGTCAGTTCTCAAGATGATCAGGAGAAATACTCACAACTCTCCAAGGTTTTGGAGACACCCATCAAGTTGCTTATTTCATGATCTTTCATTTTCTGGTCAATTTTTTTTTTTTGGGGGGGGGGGGGGGGGGGGGGGTTAATACAATGATTTTTGGGAGAAAATTCCATCCAAAGACAATCATCCCAAAAAATAGTCCTGAAACTCATCGCCATTTTGAAAGATGATGCCTGCGCTCCATTGCAAAATACATGTAGAGCAATTACATTGTAATTTCATCCATACATTTTAATTTCATTAAAAATGTAACAGAAATACAATATTTCAGTCCTGTTAACAGCTTCCACTCTTCTTTTTTTATAAACCATCAAATTCATGCCTACAAAATGATGTATGATAGCAAAAACAATTGGGGCATACAAATCGTGTTTTGGCCTACATAGGCAATTTTGGCCTTTTTACTGGTCTGCACCCTTTACAGCACTTACCAGAGACTGGGACAGGCTGCGTTAACCAGAGGCCCTTTTTGCTAGGAACCTTCTTCACCCCTCTAAAATCCTTCAAAATGTTGGACTTACATGTATTTTCAAACGAAGGATACCCAGCGCCCCAATCCTTCAAAATTGACCAACAGTCCTGCCTCTCAAAATGCATCCATCCTCAATCCTCCAAAATCTCCTCTTCTTCAAACACCATTCATCCTCAATCCTCCAAAATCCTCCAAAAACCACCAGGAGGATTGTGGAGGATTAAAGAGGGTTAGGGTTAAGGAAACAAAATATACAAAGCCATGTCTTGGGCCAAGACTAACTGCCTGAGGTTCAGGCTCAGGTACAAGAAGGGCCAGCAGACCATTACACTCAGCAATGAAGGTTTGAAACTGTCATGAATTAGTTATATACACATTGTATAAATGCTTTATTTCTTGCATGTAACACACACACAGTTGCAAAAAGGCCCCCAAATCCTTTAACAGAGAAGGGAATTAAGAACTGAATTGGTTCAGTGTTTTTGCCAACACGCACTGAATACTTGTGAGAGAGAAATATTTATGCAATTAGGAGTTGAAACTTTAGAATTGGATGCGGCAAGACCACCTGCTAAAACAGGAAGCCCTGTTTGTGAACTGCAACTTTCAAGGCAAAGAAGAAGTTAGTCACCAGTTATTTACTAGTCATCCACCAGTCTCGAGTTCATTCACAAGCTTTGAAAATGAACAATTACAAAGGCATTAGAAGCAGGTGACGCGCCTGCAAAGCAGACACCTGTATGTCACCACTGAAGAGGGGATAAGCTGCCTCCCCTCCGATGGGAAGACTAAATAGCATGACATGTATATCCCTGCCTGTGCAGATTCTAGTAAACATGGCAGATGTTGTATTCAGAAACCTACATTTTGCAAAAGCCCTGGTATATCTTTTGCCTTTCATGTGTCTTTCTATATCAGCGGGTTCTCGGCTGATGTGACGCAGTGTCAGTGTGCAGAAGAGCTGGTGGCTGCAGAAGGAAAAAAAATGTATGAAACTGTTCAGCATACATGTACATGCACGGTATCATAAATTACATAGTAAGTGTAAAATGTCCACAATATGAAATATTTACATGTTCATGATATACAGGCTGAATGGGTTAGCATGTACATACATGTACATGTACATAAAAAAAACATGAACTTGAAAAATCTCATCAGTACATGTTATTAAAGAGTGGGTCATCAGCTTTCCATTAATAACCACTGATGTCAAAACGGAAACACTCTTCTTTTAACTCCCTAGCCCTTTTTGCTGGATGTAGCCACAATCCTGCAAAATCCTCCAATTGGCCTGATGGAAAAATAACGTTATATAGCCTCAATCCTGCAAATTCCTCCATTATTTCTTGAATATGGTCCATGGAAGGGTTACCCTGCAAATCCTGCGGCAGTGACTGTCAATATGTTAAGGATTGGCCAGTGACATCCTGGAGCAGTGCGGAGGATTTCGGGCATAATCCAGGCCTATATTTATGCATGGCTGAGCAAAAACAACACAAGGTCCGGCCCAAGACCTTGACAAAGTGCATACTACAAAATCAGTAAACGCACTTTTGCCAGTAACCTCAATCCTCCAAATTCGTCCACTTTGACAAGGGGATTTTGAAGGATTCAGCGTCAAGGTTTACAGTGTAATTCAACATTGTTCAATGGTGATCCAAACAATGTCCTGTCACCGGAGACTCCATGTACATGTATACGTACATGTATACATGTACGTACATGTACATGTACAATGTACATATTGAAGAAGCCAGAAAGATTTACACTATATCAATGCAGCAACATGCAAGCGCATTCATAGATCATTCGAATGAAGTATTTGATTTTGCAACAGAAAGATAAAATTTTTGTTTGAGTAAACACTGTTAGAGGGATTATTTGTCAGCACAACAGGCACTCTTGAACTGCCTCATCATTGTTCAGCCTGTATATCATGAACATGTAAATATTTCATATTATGTCCTTGTTCCTCTCACAAAACCTGTGTCTTACCCACGCCCCTTTTTCTTGCTGGGTATAATGTGGGGTCTGTATTTCTCCACGTCACAGTGGCTGAGCTCTCGTAACCGCTGGTATCTCCTGCCCTGTGTGTAGCTCTCCATAGCTGACATCTTACAGGGCATTTCATGACCCGTTAAAGTGCATCGTACCTGAAAAATGTAAAAACAACTTCATAAATACCTAAGACAGTTTACTTAACCCATTCCTATTGGTCGAGAGCCTGTCACGTGGTTGGTCTTAAACGGATGATAAAGACATGGCTAACTGGTATTAAACACTTTTCCAGTGTCACATGAAATTTGGACTCCGATAAAAATCCAGTGCCTCTTACCGTTTTTATTGGTTGAATGTTCATAATACTCACGTGGGCAAGCGCAATACTACCAGCGAGTCAGTTTTTGACTTGTTTTGATTTTTAGACGGAAAAGATTTTTTTTGACCGAAAAGGTATTTATGAATAGGAATAAATGTGTGTTCGGTCGGAAGGCGAAGCTGAGGGTAATGATCATCCATCCAGACTCCAACCGGTCTTAAACAGAGTGTTATACAAGTAATACCTCCTAAACACACATTTATTCCCTTAATCATTAACATGGGTATATGATATACATACATGTACATACATACCGGTACATACAATATATGTAATGGAAACAAATCACAAATCTCCTTATTAAAGTTAACTGAATAATGTCATCATTATGCATTGATTGCAACACTTCATCCTTTCCCCCATGAAAAACCTTTGAAAATCTTGAGAAATCTCTCTGGCCACCCCCGCACCCCCCTTGAAAAATCCTGGATCCATCACTGCCATTGCCAGATTGCATTGCTGGCATGTACTGAAAAGAAGATAATTTCCCCTTTGCAGAAAATGGTTGGTCAGAACTTATCTCCCATGTACCGTAAGTCAACGCGAGATATGAACCACAACAACGAAAAGATGGCGACTGAAGTTACGACAGGAGGATTACGGTCTTGAACGGGAAATTTCTCTTTTCTTCCGAAACGTAAGTTAACCTAAGTACATGTACCCCCATCTCAATTTTTGATCTCCACTGGATCCCAATAGAGATCCAGTCTAAACATGTACATGTATACATTATCATAATCGATATCATGCGTGCGATAACAAAATCGACCTCAATCTCGAAATGATGGCATGATGACAATAACAAGCCCAATGTAGAGTTGACCTGCTGAGGTCACACGAAGATCAGCACACGTGCAACAGACGTAAACACACACTTGAACATAACATAACGTGCATTCGTCAGATCGGATACGCGAGGCTGGTGAGTAAAAAGACAGATTTTCCACCCAAAAATTGTCCCATGATCAAAATGTCAATTGTGGGAAAATATTTCAGAGTTATGGATCAATTAGCTCAACTTTTTTGGTGGATTTGTATTTAAGAAAGTGGAATTTCAGACAAAGGTATTTCCAAAAGCCATAGAGTGCTGACCCCCGATCACCATGCTAGAACAGAAGGCTGACGGAGAAAAGCCTTCTAATTCTAGAAGTAGTTTGTATATATCTACTATAAATTCCCACATCGAAAAGATCACGTGCACGCTAGATATTTCCTACTGCCAGTCACGTACACTTGAGTCAAGGCGCACATGGTAACCTGGACACAAAAAAAGAGAACGCAAGTGCAGTGGTAGCGCACGGAGCCAACGAGCTCCGGCACTCGCGTCATCTTTTTTTGTGTGTCAGGGTTGTTACCACGTGCACCTTGCCTCAAGTCTACATGACTGACAGCAGAAACGTTCCAGCACGCGCGTGATCTTATTGATGTGGGAATTTAGGTAAAAAATGTTGCAACCTGATGCCACTTCTGCAATTGTGCACCAAGTCTATGGAGAGTTAAGGAAATTTTTTAAGTATTTCCAAACAAAATTGGAAATGTTTTTCAGTCCCAGATTCATGTCTTATCATTTTTGCAATGAATGACCTTTATTGAGATGATATATGAAGAAGAAAGTGGTGTCAGGTTGCAATATTTTTTCCTTCTTTTCTATCGCTATAAATAAAGAGGGTGAGCATGGGTGTGTGTGCTTTTAATATAGCTTGAGTAACTCCAGCTTACGAGCATGTTAGCTGGAGTTACTCAAGCTATGTGTGCTTCTAAGTTCTAAAGCATAAATAAACTAGTACTACCTCCGTAAATAAAGGCCACACTTCCACCATGTACAAAAACATGTCGAACTTTGTCAAATTTTGATTTTCACATTTACACAAAGTACATGTAGCTGTTTAGGCTTAGTCCGAATAACTTGGACCCAACTTATCGCCTTTTCATGCTTTTTAACATGTCCGAATGTTAAAAGGCGATAAGTTGGGCCCAAGTTACTCGGACTAGGCCTATACTAGATAGTACGTCTACAAGGTCTAAATGTAGAAATGAAAAATTGACAAGTTCTACATTTTCGGGTACATGTACATGTTCCACATGTTCTAAGTGAGTGTCCCTTATTTATGGAGGTAGGCCCTAGTCCAGTATTTGGCCACATTTATGGGGCTAGGTTCAACTTCAAGGTCAAATTTCCACTGCCGACTGATTGCCGTAAAATTAGCCACTGCGATAATCAAAGTGTCGCCACGTTAATGGGGCCGCGCCACGTACATTTGTTACATCAACATTACTACGTGCATAAGTGTACCTGTGAATGCGCGCACGTGGCTAGGCATATGGCACGGTCGCATTACCGTTGCGAGCACGCCGGCATTGCATGCACATGCAATGCCATGCAGTGAGGTTTGATTACCTTTTGTGACCCAATATAATTCAAAGATGGATGCATCTTAATGAAATCATGTATTTCTTGGGGAAGCGATGCTATCTCCTTCACATCATCATCGATTAAGTCTGTCAACTTCGCTTTATTTTCATGCTCGTGTTTTTTTGAACTTCTGGGCGCTGCCATGTTGATTTCTAAAGTGCGCCCCAAGTTGCAGGTGATGTCGGGGCTGTATACGTCCAGAAACCCGTCCAAAGATAGGCTCATTCTTTGTTAAAACCAGTCTGGTGCACATGCACACTACCAACCTCGTCCCCAGTGCTTACTTTATTTCCAACGTTTGTTTCCAGAGCAGGTAGTGGTGGGCGCGTACTGCTCGACACCCTGGGGACGAGGTTGGCACACTACGGCTGCAATTCAAGTTAAGTTACAGTACACGCGCTTTATTTCCAGCCGTGGCCGGCCGGCCAGGTGCCAATTAATTTTCCAATTTCTGTGACTGTCATGACTGTGGAATTCCTGTGTCATGTTTGTGTGCTTTACCAGAACTTGTAATGACTTTAACTCCTTCCCTTCCACCGTAGACCTACTTAAAAAAGGTAGGCCTTACTACTAGCATGACTATTAGTATTACATTAGTACCATGGAGAACATTACTGAGTCATGTGAGTCACTATAGTGGATATTTTGCCGGAGGTAATGACGGCAAACTAACGTTTACTAAAGGCTAAAGGTTTGCCGGCGGCAATCCATATCAACAGAGGGCGTTGTACTCTTTAAGATAGGGCTGAATTATTAGATGTATGAAATTCCCATCAAAAGATGTGTAGCACGTTTGGTGTAGTGGTTAATATAATAAATAAGAATATTCTTCTTTTATTATTTTAACATGTCTCAAACATTTTATTGCAGAGTAGGCCTATTACATTTTCTTTTTCAGATTTGTGGCTCTGGAGGATTTTTTTTAAAAAGGGAAATAAAGTCCGAAATTATAAAATGGTCTGAATCCCATCTTGTGAATACGAGGTCACAACGATAATATTGGCATGGAGCTAGCTGGAGTTACCCAGCCCTGAGTTTTATCATTGGGTTGTCTCCCAATGATAAAACTCAGGGCTGGGTAACTCCAGCTAGCATGGAGCCAGATCCAGACTAAAATTTGTCACCGGAAAATGTGTAAACTTGTACAAAAAAAACAGTAACTGCGCATGTTCAGTGCATATCCGGCAAACTAACGTTTACTAAAGGTTTGCCGTCTCCGGCAAAATATCCACTGCCTTATCAATATCAGGTTTAGCTCTGTCGACACAAATGGTCGAGCATGTCGAGCGCAATTTGAGTCCCCCGTGCAAGTTTAAACTTGCGCGCGCAAGTTTAAACTTGCGCGAGTGACTCCCGAAGCACGCAAATTACAATACAACCTCGTGCCCCGTGGGTACGATCTTGCAGCGCCATGTTGTTTCCCACCATGGCTATGCCTTGCGCGATCGTAACCCCTGGAATTGTGTTATTTAAATGTGCCAAAATACGGCACATTATAATTAGAGCTGCAGTTTATCCATTTTACGTGCCGACGCCATCTTTAAAATGTTAAAAGTTGTGATTTTTAAGAATCAATCCTTTCAAACACAACGTTTGGACGTTGTGTTAATTAGCAAAGATTTGTATTGAATGTTCGTAGGCCTACCCCTTTCGTGCCTTTACAACCACATATACAGGGTTTTTTTTAGCGAAAAACGCGGCTGACATAATCCATATCGTACAGGCATCGCGACTTTTGAATCACAATTTTGTTTTCGTACGTGATGTTACGTGCAAAGCACGCGAGCGCATTATGGGCGCGCCCGGCGTGCAATCTTCGAAATGCGCACGCAGTACGCTGTGAATAGCCATTCAGCATCATTTACGTCATCATCACAGCCAGGGGTTAGTGTAAGGAACGAGCACGCGCCCCTGGAGTCGAGGCTTCACAAATTACCCTGCGCCATTTTAATTTGCGTGCGCAAGGTTAAACTTGCGCAAAGGCGATCGCAATTTGAGAACCTTGCGGGCGGGATTTTCATTGATGAAGAAAAAAATGTGCAAAACACGAGTAGGCCTACATGGACTGTGGAGAAATAATGGAATAAATGAATGAACAAAGAAATAAATAAAAAGGGGAATTCAATTAGCGTCAATGAAAAGAAACATTGAGATTTAGCAGTGCTTATCAATATCCCAGAAGGGGAAAATGTCCATACTCAATCGCCACTTTATCTGCCGCCAAACATATTAATTTTCATCTCACCTTTTGATTTCATCCAAGAGGAATCCAGAAAGCTGTGTAAGTGCGAAAAAAAATTAGACAAAATGTGTTTTTAAAGCACATTTTAGCTTGAATAACTCCAGCTCTAATGCCTATCGCAGTAAAAATCCATCACCGCTTGCGAAAGTCCATCGCCACTCGTGAATATGCATCACCAGTAAAAGTCCATCACCGATCGCGAAAGTCCATCACCGATTGCGAAATTCATCACCGATCGTGAAAATGCATCACCAGTAAAAGTCCATCACCGATCGCGTAAGTCCATCACCGATTGCGAAAGTCCATCGCCACTCGTGAATATGCATCACCAATAAAAGTCCATCACCAATTGCGAAAGTTCATCACCGATCGTGAATATGCATCACCAGTGAAAGTCCAACACCGATTGCAAAAGTTCATCACCGATCGTGAATATGCATCACCAGTAAAAGTCCATCACCGATCGTGAAAGTTCATCACCGATTGCAAAAGTTCATCACCGATCGTGAAAATGCATCACCAGTAAAAGTCCATCACCGATTGCGAAAGTCCATCACCGATCGTGAAGATGCCCATCACCAGTAAAAGTCCATCACCGATTGCGAACGTCCATCACCGATCGTGAATATGCATCACCAATAAAAGTCCATCACCGATCGCGAAAGTCCATCACCGATCGTGAATATGCATCACCAGTAAAAGTCCATCACCGATCGCGAAAGTCCATCACCGATCGTGAATATGCATCACCGATTGCAAAAGTGTATCACCGATTCGATGATCACATTAAATGCCTCTTTGTCTTTGGCGTTCCATACAAATTGCGCTCGACAGCTCCACCGATTTGGCATACTTTGGTGACGGCTTCACAGTAGCATGATAGTGTACATACCCACGCGAGAACAAAAAGACCCCAAAAAACCGGTAAAGAGAATACAAATGAGAAAGACAGTAAGGCCCCCCCCCCCAAAAAATATTCGGTCTCTGGTCAGACCAAAGTTCCGGAATTGACGCGGCCACGCGGCTTTTTTTTTTTTTTTGCGTTTTTTTTTTCTTCAAACTTGGATTTGTACAGACAAGGTGGGTACTATTTTGCTTTTTTGGTGTCCTCATGTACATTGGTGTCCTCCATAATTTGCCTTGGTGCTTTCGATCATTTACCTTGGTGCAATTTCCCATTTCTTGGTGCTCTTTGGTAAAAAAAATTGAGGAGGTGTGGAAATAGAGGGCGCTGTTGGAGCTACCGCGGAACATTTTGGAAAAAAAAAGATCGACGCGCATGATTAAAATCGACGCGCGCGCTGACCAGAGACCGACTTATTATTTTTTTTGGCCTAACCCTGGATAGATCCACACATTCATGACATTCCATAAGACCCCTTATATTGTAACCAAACAGCGAAAATTTTGAAAAAAAAAAGAGCAAAATAGTCAGAAAACTTACAGCTCAATGTGTTTGCCGTGAAGCTCAGACCTTGCACCGACTTGCCGAATGAGGGCGTCTGATGTGACGTCACCGTCGTTGCTCGATCGAAGAAAAACAAGTTGCGCTTAATCAATGACTATTTCATGTAGTCATATGTGTTCCGCGCCAAAAGCCCACACTGTCAGACGGCGCAGGGCACATATGACTACATGAAACAGTCGTTGAGTAAGCGCAACTTGTTTTCTTCAATGGTGACGTCACACACGCGCGCGATGAATTATGCATCAGTCATGTCAGTGAAATGGACTGTACAACTCGGCAGACACATTTAATTGTGAGCGGTAAGTTCAGACTATTTTGTTCTTTTTTTTCCAAATTACCGGTTGTTTGGTACAATTTAAGGGGTCTTATGGAATGTCATGAATGTGTGGATCTATCCAGGGTTACTGTCTTAGTGTCTTTTTCATTTGTATTCTCTTTATCAGTTTTTTTGGGGCCTTTTGTCCTCGCGAGGGCATGCACAAAGTGCATACCGTCATGTCGACCGTGTACCTGTCACCAAAGTATGCCAAATCGGTGGAGCGTTTGTACGGAGGGTACCGTAGTTCAACGCTCCACTCAGTAGAGCTATATCAGGTTCTACCTTTAGGCCTACTACATGTAACAGTCGTTTTTCTAGTTCCGGATTTTGGTAAAAATATCTACTGGCCTAGACCCGTGAACGTGGCTTACAAATGTATTTCTCCATGTGTAAACTACGCCACGCTCTTGTACATGTTCGAGCCAAGCGAAATCGTCCTTCCGTGACGTGCATGCCGCAGTGCGACGTCGCAAATCGTTTTTGAAAATTTATCATCAAAACTTTTGAACTTGTACATAATAACATATTGTTGCATTGATGTGATTGAAATTGTTGAAAATACGGCTACAATCACTGTCACAGTCATATAGTAATAAATCATTAATTTTGGGTGTGTGTTTTGGGGTAAACCTTTGGCGATCGTGCACAGTGAAACTCTCCGTTAGCCTTCTAGCACGGTGAATTTTCGGGGGTCAGTACACTGTGGCTTTTGGAAATGCCCTTTGATAGACGAAATACCTTTGTCATGTTTGTCTGGAATTCCAATTTCTGAAACACAAATCCACCCAAAAGGTTGGCATGGTTGATCCAAAACTCTAAAATATTTTAGGACCATTGATATTTGGATCATGGGACAGTTTTGTGGGTGGAAAATCTGAGTTTTTACTCACCAGCCTCGCATTTCTGATCCGACGAATACAGAAGTCATGTTCATGTGTGTTTACGTACGTTGCACGTGCGCCGATCTTCGCGTGACCTCAGCAGGTCAACTCTACATTCGGCTTGACCATTTGGGATGGAGGGGGGGATTGTATGCTTTGCATCGCGCAACGGTACATTATGTACGTCATTGGTGCGCTGAATACGCTGCCCTGTATCGTTAAAAGTTGTCAGTTTTGGTGGACTGTTTTTAAATTTGACAAAAAGGATGTTAGATCCATCAGTAAATTGTCCACCAAAATTGACAACTGGGCAATTCCACACCAAAGTGGACATGACACCAAAAAATTCAAATACATGTGACTTAAACAAATTTGGCATCAAATGAAAGCTAAAAGTCTATATTTTCAAGATTTGAAGTCGGAATTTTATTTTGTATACATTTCTATACCAAAAAATAGGATTATGTATTAATCCTGTTTTAATCCTAAAAATGTGATTAATAGTGATATGAAAGTATTCTACCAAAACACACACAAAAATATGTACTAATGCCATCAGTTTCTGTCACGAGAAAGTATTGGTCTTGAAAAACCAACTAAAACTTGTTTTTAACAGTTTGCGTAATTTGCTTCGCTTCAGTGACTTCTAATATTTTAGCCTTCGAAAATGTCCTTCCGTTACCGAAAAAATTAATATTTTTAATGTATTTTTAAAACTTGCAGTATGAATGCATTGAAAGTTATTGTGCAAAGCAAGTTTAGGCAGGCCTTCAATATGACATGATAACTGACGCTGCTGTACTTCTCGTTTTTTAATTACAATTAATTAAATCACGTCCTTCCGTTACCAAATTGGTAACGGAAGGACGGTAACGGAAGGACAAATCGTATTTTTATCAAATGTTACGACATTTGCGCTCATGTTTGAAAAATGAAAATCACTGCAAATACATGCATGTATAATGAGCATTGAAAGGACATTCATGTGACCCACCTTCACAAAAGCGGGATAAGCAGGGCAAGGTGTTTATTACAAAGGAAGGCACAGGCATGTACAACATGTACAATGTACATGTACATATATGCCGATGTACCAGTACATGTACATGTATGGAGTTGTTGCAGAAAATCAAATCATAAAGTTGCTGCCATCAGCATTCATGGACAATAGAGAAAGATACAAATTCTGTGAAGCCATTCCAGAAGCAAATTAAGTCAAAATTGGGATGGCAGAAAGTACCGGTACTTTGGGGCACTTTTATTCAATTTACATGTGTAAGACATGTGAGGTGCAATCTTTGACAAATTATGCCCAAGTTAACAATTTCAGTTTGGATGTTTATAAATTAATTGTTACTACTCTAAATCATTGTAATTTGATTTCAAACATTGATTTTAGAGTTCAATTAAAAGCAACACCTAACTGAAGCCATCAGTTCTACCGGTAGATGTTTTTACCTTAAATTTAAATGTAGGCTGGTCGCCCCCCCCCCCCCCACCCTTTAGGTAAACCACTGAACCTACCGGTATTATTATTAAAAGTTGTTGGCGAACATGTAACCAATATACTCAAGTGCTCAAATACTGTGTATTTAAACTTTTTAAGGATTGAGGTGATGGGTTTGAAGTCCAATTCTGTAGTTGTCTTGTGTTCGTGAATTATGTGTTTTGGGTGGTTTTCGTTTTTCTTTTGTTGTCATTAATTAGCAGGCTTCTATCTTTATCTCAATGGTTTCTTGGGTATAATTATTTATGCCAGGTCTGCATATTGTTGATTTCACATTCAGTTACACATTTCAGCAATTTGTTTCACTTGTATAATTAGTGTAAATTCACATTTTATTCATGCTATAATTGAGTAAACCTTTTGTCCTTCCGTTACCGTCCTTCCGTTACCAAATCATAATCTGCTTAAAACGTTGTAATTATATTACCGAAACACTTCAAGTCAAATGAAAGGCGGTATAGTATAGATAAAGCTTCAGGGATTCCATTTCTTACCTTTAAAATATAATTGCCCCATAAAATTCACAGAGTTTACGCAAAATGCGAGTAAGTTGGAAAACCCTTGTCCGTTTTACCGTCCTTCCGTTACCGACCTCATTAATATTCATAATTCATAAACGGGAGGCATTCATGCCCCCCAAAAGTGTGGAAAATGAAAGTAGCATTATAGCAATACAATTGTGACATTTGTTTGCTGTAACTATGAACAGTGTCTGTGATACACACATTTGAAATTTTGTTTAATGAGTGAAAACGTCCTTCCGTTACCGTGGAATTGCCCAACTTGTAGCCACACAGCCCAGTGTATTCTGAAATGACGCTGAAATGACGTACATAATTATTATGTACTGTTGTGCGCAGAAAAAAAATTGCATTCGGGATTAGAACAACGAGCCAATCACAGTACACCTTGATTATTATGCTGTTTTCAAATTACCAACCTTTGGCTGGAATGTACGTACAGTTGTATGGCAGAGCCACAGAGGGTCATAGACTAGGGCTATGTTGGAACATGATCAACCGAATGGTTCTCATACTTAATTGTTGATGTACATATGTAGGCTTACCCTAACGTGGTGCGGCCCTAGTCCGAGTAACTTAGACCCTACTTATCGCCTTTTTTAACATTCGGATAAATATCTCTGGTTCGCATGAACAGGTTTCCCACATGTGGTATTTTTAGTGAATATACCGGTAGCATGCTCCATTAATATACAAGAAGTACATTTAGGCACAGCTGGCTTATTGTTTGAAGTTACATCAACAGTCATAGCCAGTCAATCGTGCTTTATGTAGGCTGGGAGCTCTTTACTGTTGAAAATGGTCACTTCATTGATATTGACTGAAAAGGCAACTTTGCACAGAATGTATGTTTGCACAGGAGGGTCAAGCAACGTATTGGTTTTATGTACATGTACATGTTTGCTTTTATACAGAGGTTCAACATGGCAGAAGCAGCAGAACTGTTACAAGCCCTTGCTTCAGAAGAACACATAGCAGTTTGTGAAGATGAAACTACCGGTACAGCTCCACAGCACAGTACATCATGTACACAGGTTAGCATTGCCTGAAAATTTGACAGTGATGTAGAGAAGTGCAATAACATGAAAAAAAAAAAAATGTACACAATGTGATAGGCATTTTTGTAACCGCACAGCATGTACATGTACATGTACGGTACATGTACATTGTGTACATGTAGGTGGGGGTCAGTGTTGTACTTGTACACATGTCGATCCCGAGACCTGGTCCCGGTCCCGAGACCTGGTCCCGGTCCCGAGACCGGGTCCCGGTCCCGAGACCGGGGCCCGGTCCCGAGACCGGGGCCCGGTCCCGAGACCTGGTCCCGGTCCCGAGACCGGGGCCCGGTCCCGAGACCGGGGCCCGGTCCCGAGACCGGGGCCCGGTCCCGAGACCGGGGCCCGGTCCTGAGACCAGGGGCCAATTTCATGGCGCTGCACAAAAATTAGCTTAGCACACCACAACAAAATGCACCAAATAAGGTATGGCTTTATTCATTTGCAAGCTGAATTATGTGCGAGTCTAGTCTTTATTCCAAACATAAACAACATTTAATCGTTGAGTGCAAGTTTTCATGCTGGAGAAGGAGATTGAAGCTGGAAGGAAGACCAGTCAATGCAGCTTGTTAATTCGGAGTAGCTGGCACCCGCGCACAGTTATGTTGCCTGCGTATTTCACTGGTACACATCATAAGCGTGTAAATGTAACGCATTCTTGCTTCATGCTCTTCACATGCCTTACGATGATATTTTGACCTATTGTAACTTCAAAAACATCAAGGCCCTGCAAAAACTGATTAGCCCTACAACATGTACATGTATGTCAAATGAACGCAGCAGTGGTGCTGTTTGGCTCTAAGATTCACTGGGAATTGTTGGACTGCGGAAAAGGGGCAAGAAACACTGTGCAGCATGCAAATTGTGTTCAAAGATAATTGCAGAGACATGCGGGACAACTTCTGTTTTCACTCGCCACCTGAAACAAGTACACAGGCAGATGTCAACTTTCTAAAAATTTTAACAACAAAAATTCACAATTCAACATTAATTTCTGACATTTAGGGAGTGCACGTAATTGCTAGATTTTACGTTGGTCATTAGGGAGACATTTTCATGTCTCCCTATTGTCACAGTCCCCCCAATAGAGGAACAATTTTATTGTTGCAATTACATGTAGATTATATTTGTTGCTCATGGTCTAATCAGTAAGCATACCAAAATTGGTGGAAAAAGGACAAGGGAATATTGGGTTAGGGCACATTTCAGTTTGAAAATTGGGTGCACAAGTCTATGGGGATGTCTCCCAAATGTCCAATCCAGGGTAATATTTATTATTATTATTATTATTATGAACCATGGTGTTTGGCTGGAGAGCAGCAGCGATGACACGTCCCTCATGAGGAGTAGAAGCTCCGGCGTGATCACGACACGCCCAGGTTTATAAGGGGCATTTAGTCACTTTGATTACATGATGTGTACGGTTTGCATGAATAATGAACTTACTGGAGTGACAAGAATGTTGTAAACGTGAAGACTTTAAATGTGTATACATTCGCAAGGTGTGATCATCGCATTGTAACAGTGTACATGTATATGATAGTACCGACAAATTTTGAAATCTTCGCCTCTATATTTTTATGTTAGTGTATTACCCTGGCATTTTTTCCCCCACCAAAATGCAGGAGCTCACTTAATCACATATTAAAATCCTTAAATATGAGGGAACTAATAAATCTAAAAAGTTTTTGCCTTGAATCAGTTCAGTGAGCCCGACCTGGAGCCCACCGCTAAGAAACGACCCAACCACCATATGGGACCCATTGATCTGAGCTATGAGCAAGACAGTCAGAGGAGATGCAAGTCATTCTTTAAGAGACGCAAGACAATATTTGACAAGGTGAGCTGGGAGTTCTAAGGTTTAGGTTATTTTAGTCTGGATCCAAGACCAAAAGACGCTTGACTGTTCTGACATATCTCTTCCAAGATCATGTGAATATCGGGCAACATCCTCCCGTATCCCAAACTTTCTGAAGATTTGCAACGACACTTTTGTTGACACTCGAGTACATGTTTGTGATACCTTGGGTGTTTTGGGTGTACAATGGTTGTATTTTCATAGCAACCAAATGCCTGTATGCAATGGATGTTAATCCTAAAAACTTGAATGAATTTCAATCAAAGCTTGCATAAATTTAAAGAATTTGTTGCTAGGGTAATGTCCATTGTATTTGAAGCCATACTATGCCTTAGGGACAGTATTTATGTATGTTCTGTGTCTGAATGAGAGAGTTATCAGATTTGTTTTGGTTTGGGAGGCTCCCACATGGTCTAGGGGCCAGATTTTGGTTTTGGTGTTGGACCCGAGAGATTCAAAGAGGGGAAAAAAAGGAAATGATCAGTTTAATGTTTACCCCGGCCTTGAAAGGGGGATATTGCGATAGTGTACATTCCTTCTATGTGTCCGTCCAGTTTAATAACTGTTTAGTGCTAACATATGAAATGTCTGACTTCAATCTCTTCCAAACTAGGTGACCATAATCTTTGGGTAGGGGGGCTACAGATGACTTGAGACATTTGAGGTCAAACGTCATCTAGGGGCCAGGGGGATCGGGCAAGTTTAACTTGCCGTATTTTTTTAAATTAATTAATCCTAGTGTTGTATTATCAGCTGAAAGTGGATTAACAGAACTTTCATTTAGACATTCTGGAAACTGAATATTTTTTAGAAGCTGTGTGTGTAAATGTACTTGAAAGAAAGTTTTGAAACCAAATAAATTCTATACACAATGTTTCAAGTCTGGAGAGTGTCTTAATTCAAATGTGGAGGAATTATTCCCCCATAACCCCCCCCCCCCCAAAAAAAAATACCAGAAAAAGAAAAGTCAGCTGTTTTTACAAATGACATATTTTTATGCAAGAGAGCAAGCTGATATGTATGGGTCTTTCCACACTAATGGGCTACAATTGACTGCAAAATTTGGGTTTGAGAGTGGGACAATTAATGGTGGTACATGTAAATCAAAACGAGATATTGTGTTCGTTTTTTCCCTGTACGTTCCTACATGTAGGATCTATAACATGTACATGTACGTTCCTAGGATATATAACATGTTCCGGTACCAGTACATTTGTATAAAGATCATGCATACAAAAACTATAGAAAACTGTCTTGTGTTCTTCAGAAATTACATGGGTCCTGTTAATTTGTTGTAGCTGGTACATGTATCCAGTTGTTTTTTGCTGAGCACATAAATTTGCTACATGTACGTAAGTAACAGCTTCGTGAAATTGGGCTGCGATTTCATTACCCTGACAGGCAAATCAACTGACGTCCATTTGCGGTGCATCGGTCAGCATCAAATTGAAGTCAAAGGCTGGCCACGTTTACGAGTACAGATCAGGAGAATTTCAGCCCGATGGTTTGCCTGGAGTACCCATGGTCAGTCTCCAGCATGGACCCACACCCAGAGGACGGCCCAGGAAGACACCTGTTCATTCTGAAGATAGTGCTACATGCAGAGATCCCCAGGCAAGCAGCTCCTTTAGCTTGTACCAGCCCCAGAGCAAGAAAGCCCCCTGTGCTGTCTGCAAGAAGGCAGACTCCTATCTGGCCTGCCAGAAGCCCGGCTGTAGCTTCTGGGCTCATGCAAGATGCCTGGGCTTTGTGGCAATGACTCCGACTGATATGTCCAATGTCAAGTTCTTCTGTCCGAAGCACATCCCAGCCAGCTAGCAGCATAGATCACGGAGATGGATGCCTTTTCAGACTTTTTTTTAAAGTTCCATCAATGCAAACCTGCTTCATTGATTCCTTCCAGTTAATTATTTATTTAGTAACTCTTTTCAATGCTGAGTTCAGTCACAAATGGATTTGCATTACGGTAGCTTTGACGTAAAAAATAATCAAATGGGTGTCCTGATAAACAGTGTAGACACGTTTTGCCAAGTAATTTGGACAGAGCGCTTCAAGAAAGTGGAAAGTGTACAGATTTAGCAGCTACGTACACAAGACCGTATGTATGATGTGTTTTCCAATGCATTTCACTATTCACAGGGGGGGGGGGGGGGCCCATGGGGGGGGGCGACAGCCCCCCCCCCCCCCCATGAAACCTTGTCGCCTTGGTTCCTAGTAAATTAGGCTGGGGAGTTAGTGTTAATTAAAGCTATAGTCCATCATTTGCAGCCATCCGAAAAGTAACTGGCGTAATTATTGTTGAAAAGCAAACTTGGTTGAAAGATAGTAAGGGAACTAAACTCCCTGTGAAATTATTCTTTCTGGGAAGCTGTCAGTTTGAAGTAATCAACGAAAGAAGGCATTTCCAATGGTGATTCTTAAGAAGCACAGTAGGAAAATTTAAATTAGTCGTTCGTTTTGTTATTCAGCGCAGCGCGCACAAGTATTGGAACGACGCACACACGCGCGCGGTTGTTATAATTAGTCGGATCAGTGCGCGACGTCGCGTATAGCTGCAATTCAAAACAATTCAAAACATGATTCAGTAACTTTTGATTTGAAATTGAGATCTTAGAATGCTGTTTTTCTCGGAATGTACAGCTGAAGCTTAGCTGAAACTTCATCAGGTTAGTTGCTCAGCATCCTTCATTAGATTGTGAACTCTTTTGTTGCTTCAAACGAACAAAATGCACAAATTACAAATGATGGACTGCAGCTTTAAAAGACCATGGGATTTTCCAATGCATTTCACTATTCACTCTTAACCCTAACCGAACTCAACCCATAAAAGTTCAACAGCAGGTTTTGTTTAAATCTGTTGGGATAGGTACTGTACCCCTAAACTGATGGTCTTTTACACTGGGGTTGGCATACCTCCAGAAACTAAGTCCAACAGTGTGTGTGTACAATTTCCCATGTGGGTGTTTGAATTTGCCAGAATGGCAGTGGCCCATGAAACCTTGTCGCCTTGGTTCCTAGTAAATTAGGCTGGGGAGTTAGGGTTAATTAAAAGACCATGGGATGATCTTACAAATTTGATACTTTTGTGACCCCCCTCAAGAAGCTATTAAATGTATAAGGAGAATGTATCGTAGTACGAACATGCTCTGATAATATGTAGGAACTGACTATTCAGCTGACTGGTAGAAAAAAAGTTTCTCAAAAAAAAGAAGAAAAAGACTGAATCCCTCTTGAAGTAGAAAAGTGAAGATTTTACCTTGCAGTAATTTTCCTCCCATTCCACCTTAAAGCATTCAATATGCTATTTATGTACATGTAGCCCACATGTAGTGAGTTCCCTACATGTACTTATTTTCATAATTAAAGGGAAAGCCCATGTATACTAACATGACTAAAGTGTATTGCACATGTACAATATTCAGCCTCAAACACTTTTGTGGGTTGTTGCTTAATTGTTTCCTCATCATTGCTCAACATTTATACTGGGAAAACCTCAAACCTGTGTGCTTGACAACTTCCTCACCATGCTCACCCCTTCAATTCCAAAAAAATACACAAGAAAAAGTACACTGTGAAATTTCCAGGATTGCAACATGGGCCTCCCAAGGTAACATTTAGGGAAAGCCCCTTAGGCTTTCCTGGCAATAAATGAGATTAACATCCCAGTAACTGCATGCTCGTGACAAAATCTCCCAAATCCAACCTGTACTTTTGTATGGGATTCAGGACTGTATGACGACCTAGACTGAATGACCTAGTAGAATGTTCCAAGAAGGTTGTATTCAAAGTTTATGGAATTAGAGATAAGCCTGTTCAGTTTTGATTTCATACTCGTGGGGTTTCACTTCTGGGAAGTTCAAACATAAGAGTTGCTCACTCACGTGACCAAGTGCATTGGAAAGCAAACATGGTAGTCTAGGCAATATTTAAAAAAAAATGTTACATGAAGAGGAATTTTTTAGTAGAAGTTGGTAACATACAAATGTACATGTAACTACCGGTATTTTACCTGCTTTGGGGGTGCTGAATCCGAAAATGATGGATACCATGCTGGATTTTTAGTGGAAATATGCCTAATTTGCATAAATCTTTAATACCTGTCATGTTATATATTTGTTTCCATATTCAGGTATGATATTTATTATTTTTCTACTTGCACTTCCTTACTTCAATTACATTTGTGACCGGCTTTACAAAAAAGGGTATTTACTATTAAGTCGCGCTGTGCATTATTGTGTAATGGTCCGCTCAACATTGAGAGGGTGAAAATTTTGTCAAATTGGGATTTTCATTTTTTTGTCGTGAATGACATGAATGACATCTTTAATACCTACAGTTTCAGGTTTCATTCACAGAAATGTTGATTTTGATGAACAAAGTGGAAAGGCAACCAATTATACATATGTGTACATGTATACCAAATGAAAGCTTACATTGTGGGCTTTCCAACCATGTAGGCCTATATAACTCAATTTCACTTTTTTGCGACATAATACCCTTTTTTGTGGAGCCGGTCCCATTATCTAATGCAAATGACTGAATAATTATGAGGACATAGTAACAATCTAAAATAGCTACTATTACACCCTAAAGTTGCGCACATTTACCTTGTCTCCAGATATCATCAAGTAGTCTTGCGAAACCTCAGTTTGATGAACTTCAAATTCACATGCTGCTTACTGGTACAGTTACCTAACGAACTTTATGGGAAAATCATGTTAACACGTTAACAGTGATAACATTGTGGTATAAAACGAGGTGTCCTTAAATTGGGCTTAAAAGTAGGTGAAGGGTTGCCTAACGTCGGAGACTTAAACAAGTTCAAGGGAAAATATTGAAGATGTAGAATCACGAAAAAACTTTTCAAAAAATTTTATAACTAGAGGTACATTGTGCTCTGAGAGCACGAACCTTAGTTGTCGATATCCGACGAAGGTGTATGAAAAAAATGGCAGTAAAATTGTGAAAATTTTATGAAATCCGCATTCAACATCAAATCACAGCAATAGTGTTGTTTATTGGCCTTGGTACTTTTGAAAACACGGCTGGTTTTCTGGCAGAATACGCGGACAGCTTCACGCATTTGCAGCGCAGCCGCTCATGTGTACAAAGTCTATGGAGACGGCGTACATGTATGCACAGGGGCAACGTGTTTGAAGTGAAGTCATTCTTGAATGCTACTCAAAAGACACAGCTACATGTACGTGGGTGTTGGTTTGAAACCTTCCTAGAATTCCTATTCCTACGGTATGTAAGAAAGCAATGAACATGCTCAGCAGGTTGAAAAGACACAAAGTCGAATGTGTTTAATCAGAGTTGTAACGAGTCACTGATTTTTGTGACTCGAGTCGAGTCATTTTAAAGAAGTGACTCGAGTCGAGTCATTAGGTCAAGACGGTCGAGTCGAGTCGAGTCACAGTGTGTGGTCGAGTCGAGTCGAGTCGAGTCGAGTCAAATATTTAGCTCGAGTCAATTCGAGTCACAAATATTTGAGCACTATACAATAAATAAACACGAGAGAAAGTCATTTTTTGGCTTTTTAAATTTTACATTCGGGCTACTACATTTGGAGACACCACATTTGCCTCTTAATAAAAAAGGGGGTGCCAGCTGATCGTCTTTCAACTAATGGGGACACTGATCAAACCACGTATGTATGTATACATTATTCGCGAACATTCCAACGTGACGTGAACAAAAACAGGGACCGGCGTAAGTCATTGCAAATATTTTTTCGCAAAGTTTTGCTTTTATTTTTGGGACTCGAGTCTCATTAGCCTTCCTCGCGTCGAGTCGAGTCATTCTGATGAGGGACTCGAGTCGAGTCGAGTCATTTGCTCGCAGTGACTCGAGTCGAGTCGAGTCATTTGCCCTTAGGGACTCGAGTCAAGTCACCAAAAATTGTGACTCGAGTCGGACTTGAGTCGAGTCATTGACTCAAGTCATTACAACTCTGTGTTTAATATACATGTACCCGGTACCCGTCCAGCAATTAAGCAGTTCGAATGAGTGTTTCCATGATCATCAGCACATGATTTGTTTACAGTAAAAAAAAAATATGCATTACGTTGGCTTAGTGGAAAAAGATGGAAACATGTACAACATACAAAATACAACAGTTTAAACACTTTAAACTGTTAACAAGTTTATAACAGGAATAAAATAGTCAAGGGATATTCAGCTTTCAAATGCTGCTTGTTTCACCTTTTTTGCTCCTGTCAAAGCAGAGATATGGCATGTCGAACACAAACACTCAAAAGTCAATTTGTGCCACTTTCTGCATTGTTTAAAGCCTAATAATGACATGACAAGACATGTCACCTGTTCAAATCCAACTTCAAAGAAGATTATACAGGTGTGAACATTTATTGCATAATACATGTAGCAGGATTATTCCTGAGTTTTGATTTTCTGGCATCATGTGCATGGGCTTTGAAGTTAATGTATTCGAGTCGTGTACTTACATTATATAAGCATCATGAAACATTTTTCAATATTCCAAGGACACAGAGCCCATTTCTGCTTGCAGCATTTTTGGGGGGACAGGCTGTGTACCTATTTTTTTTTCAAAGTACAAATCTGGGATAACTCCATAGCCAAATATCTTTGTCATGACATACCCTGACTGTGTGGGAAATTCCATGTCTTTATCATAAAAGTGAACCATCTCATTACCAATCTGCCGTACTGAAACATGTTTTGATCCTGGTGCAAACATGTTTGTAAAAAAACATGTTTTAATTTGATGGTATTTGGAACAGCTAAAAACAGGGTACAAGAAAACAGTTTTCCAACAGGTTCCTAGAAAACAGGATCCTTTTTATGAAAAGCAGGAATAAAACATGTTTGATTCCTGTTTTAAAAATATGGTGCATGCATTCACTGGGTTTCCCCTCTAGTTAGTCACTCTTGTTTGGACTTAATGCATGTTATGTCGATGATGTCGCTGATTTCTAGCTGGAATAAGTATTTATTTGGCTGTCATCTTGATGATGTCTGCTAGATCTGTTTGGAAAAATAGCTGTATGAGACTTTTGTTGATTGTGAGGTCTCTGCACTCTTCATCGGTTTCAATGACTATGTCGATGTACCCATTGGGTGGTGTAGCATCATCAGTGTCTATACTGATTATAGTAGATCTTCCACAGAGAGCATTTTCCATCTGTTTG